GGTCTGTGAAAGCGCTATATAAATGCAGTCCATTTTACCATTTACCATTTCATACGTCAGATGGGGAGCGAAATCTGATCTGCTTATTTTTTGACATACATGCAGAGAAAGGCTTACCAAAACAAAGTTACTGGGTTGTCACTTTTCATGTTTTCTGGTTTGGTAGATGCACTGGGGACCCAATTATAGCACTTAAAAACTGAAAAAGTCAGATTTTCATCATGATATGTCCCCTTTAATATATCGGCCAAATGTTCAACCAAACTGTTGATGGACCTCATTGACTCCCATAGTAGGAAAAAAATACTATTGAAGTCAATGGGGTCCATCAACTGTTTGGTCACTGACATTCTTCAAAATATCTTATTTTGTGTTCAGCAGAAGAAAGAAATTCATACAGGTTTGAAACAACTTGAGGGTAAGTAAATGATGACAGTATTTTCATTTTGAAGTGAACTATTCCTTTAAAATGAACATCGGCTGATACCGAAATGGTGGCCTATATATCGTGCATCCCTACACTGTAAAAAGTGATCAGTTGATTTACCTTAAAAAAAAGTGAGGAAACCCGTTGGCTTAACATTAAGTAAATAACTTCATTCGTAATTGAAAAAAATTAAGTTATGTGAACTTGACAATTCCACATAACTTAATTTTTTTCAATTACACATGAAGTTATTTACTTAATAATTTTAAGGCAATGGGTTTCCTCGCTTTTTTAAGTTTAGTCAAATCACTTTTTACAGTGTTTTTATTGTCTTTCAGGCTACTTGATATGTTATTTTAAAATCATTAGGAAAAAATACCATTGACAAACTGCACAAAATAAAAAGTTGTTATTTTTTGCTAATATTTCTCTGTCAGAGTTCTGAAATTAACTAAAAAAGTCAGTTGAAAATGGCTAAAAACTTGATGGCTGGTAAAATTGTGAAACATATTTTGTTTTATGTCTAAAGAATCAGTAAATAATTAATGTCTTAACATGTTGATCACTGTTGGTGCCCTGAGGATAGAGTAGAACTACATTAGGAGAAGCGTTAATCAGCTCCTGTGTGGACATGCTGTGTGTGTGTTTTTTTTGACATATGGTAAAAGGTGGAGCCTTTTTTAAAACCTGCAGTACTGGCACTTGATCTTGAATTACTTAGCTAAAGGTTACCGGGCAAGTTGTGCCGTGTGTTTATTGTAGTTTTCAGTTCTTCAGCTGACACATGCTTTCCAGATTTTCGATGCAGGAGTTTTGTACTGATTTGCTGTACTGCAAGATGAGGCTGGTTTATAAAGCATTTACCATTGCACACTCCAACATGCAACAACTGATTATGATACAGGATATTCTTGGATAGTAAATCTGATGACGTCAGCATGGGTGAGTTTGTAGTAGCTCTGAAACTTGTTGGACAACAGATACAGTAGTATGCAATAATCAAAATAACATTTTGTGAATTTTTAATTGCCATAATATTGTTCTATCATATGTACATCTGAACATCATGGTGCAATCACTGCTGATGTCTCCTTAAAAGACAACAAAAAGAAGTTGCCTCGTTTTGTCGGGGTTGAACACCCATCTGAAAGGTCTCATAAGAAGAAACATGGATCACAAGGTGAGGTGCTTATAATAAAAAGTATTGCATAATCATAAAAGTATTGCACATTCTGCAGTGCAGTCTTGCAGAAATTGGCAAAAGATTTGATTAACATATAAAACATATAGTTTAAAAAAATTATACATTTTTTCAATATTTATTGTATATCATGTAAAGGTCTTTCGGGTTAATTAAGGAGCTTTTTAGGCGTGGTAGTGCATTTGATTTTATTTTACTGTTATTATTAATTATTATGAAACGGTCAGTAATTTGTTCACGGCTTCTGTACCGCCTAAATGAAGTGTCAGTCAAAGGCATGTTATGGGGCTTTTCATCATTGTTTCCCCTCCCTCTGTTGTTCTGCTCAAAGGGAGGTGTTGTATGTAACTATTTATTACGAACCTCCCAAAACACAATTGTACACACAAGATGTGACCTTTGTTCAATGGAAACATTCCAGTCTGTCATTGTGTTTTTGTAGAGTTCATCTAAATTAAGTCACCACCAGTAAAGGAGAGTGTTTGCTGAGAGAATTTTGTTGTTTTCTTTTCAAATCTTTCTTTCTGAGGTGGATCCACACCTTGGTGAAAGATTCAACGAGTTTGTGTGTCCCTCTCTGCACTTGCCTCACTGTGTTTGAAGTATATTTTTTTGTGAGCGTTTTAAAGGAAAGTTAGCTCATATTCAGCTGCTATTCATCTCTGCAAAACTAGAGAAACAATAAAAAAGTAACATCAACTAACTAATAACTCTGCTACAAATCCCAGGAACCATGATCTCCATGTTGTTTTCTCTTTTGCTTAATAACAACACTAGCAACATGAGGTTTAGTTTTTTTAATATGTACATTAATAAATGTCATTAAAGCTGCAGTCCGTAGCTTTTCCTCTTTGTCGCCATCTGTCTGTTCGAAATCTGTAACTGCAGTGATTCGCGGAATTATTATCTTTACGTGGGTTGTAAATCGGCATGAAACAGCGCGGATGAACACAGTGCTTTGAGGCGAGTGCTGCTGTCAGTCACCGCGCTGTGTGGATACTGTCATACAGAATCACAGATTCACTTTCTGAAAGTTTGACCAACATAAGAATTTTCACAAGAAAATGTCTTCTGAACAAGTAAGTAACATCCATTTTTGTGCTGACCAACTAAGGGGGAAAAAGCATTCGACATGATAAGCTTCGCTAGATTTAATCAACGCGATTTACAGCAACCGTGCAAATTATAGCCTACTTTGTTCTTAAATTGTTCATGTTAACAACATCAGCATTGCGTGACTAATGTTAAATTTAATGTGTTTTATGGTTACCTGTGTAGTTCAGAATTCATATTCTCCATAATAGCAAAACGAGAAAGGCACAACAAAGGAAACTCCATAACTGTGTGAATTAAGAAAACGTACTGTTACACGATTGAACTATTGAAATGTCTTAACTGACTTGTTCAGCAGAAAAAAGCCGTCTCTTCTTCCGTTTTGAACCCCTTCAAAACACGGAGTTCACGCACTTTTCAAAAGCCCCGCCGATGTTTAAATCCTTGTGTTCGCATGAGACGGTTTCTTTCTCTTTCTCTAGCCACCTTAAATCCGAAGTACGAAGTCTTTTGGGTTTTATAACTGCTGAATCTCCAGTTGACACTGATGATTGTTGTTTGGATCTTTCTGGATGCCATAAGTTTAATCATGTAAAGTGCTGCGAGAAAAGCCTATACATCTAAACATCTCCTCACGCGCAGTATAGCCGGCTAGCCGAAACTCCTTCTTTATGTGTACAGATGTGACGTAATGACGCAAAGACATGCTCGAATTTCCCGCGGAAACCCACCAGTACCACTGGAATTAAAATCATTATTACAAGCTAACCGTTTTGAATCTAGCTATGGCAAGCAGAGAGTTTTGACCACTGGCAGAATACGTTTTTTTTAATATAATTATTTTGGATTATTTTTAACTTAAAAGTTACGGACTGGAGCTTTAATTATATTTGTTTGAAATGATGTATAATTATAAACAAATGTTGTATAGATATTTTTTTTATTACTATAAGAAAACATTTTCGCACTACGGTTACCTGGACTATCCCAGACAGCAACACAGTGTTGGCCCAGATCCGGCCCACATCTGGTATATGGATTCCACACGTACCAGATGTGGGCCGGATCTTGGCCTACTGTTGCTGTCTGGGATAGGTCTTTATGGGTTTTTCTTTACCCTGTAAATACAGTAGGCTTCATTTACTGGGTTATGCACGTTGCACACTTGCAGCAGTACAATTTCAAGTTGTTTAGCAACAATACAACATACAGTATTATGTACTTCCTCAGTGCTTGACAAATCATTTTCCCAGGTTAAAAATGACCCTGGGTCAACTGTGTCAAGTGTAAAAGTGCATTAGTATTTGATAGCTGAACTCTAAATAAATCCACAGGAAACTGAGGGTGGGTGTCAGCTGATAACTTTAACCATCTCAAAGCTTTCCCTCATTCTGTGCTACTGATACAGGAGTGTGGAAACAGTGACTGTCAAACCCTGCCAGTCCTGTCTAAGAATTCATTCAAACACACTCTCTCTCGTTCTCTCTTTGTGGGTCAGTCGGTCAACAGAGACATTATCTTGATAACTGACCTGAGAGTCTTATTCATAGTGAGCGTGGCCATGTTTAGCAGTTAATGAGGGAGAGCTCTTTTAGAATCACTGCTCAAAACAGATTCAGGTTGGCGATCAGATTCGTCTTATGGGGTTCATAGAAAGAGTGGTTGTAGATTTTACGTGCTCGTTTGAGAAAAGAGTTGACAACTCTGAGAAAACAGTTCTGGTAAAAGTTGATCTGTGTAGACTTGGACGTATTGTGAGAGATTTGAAGGTTCTTGTTCAAGGAGAAGAATGGAACAAATGGATTGTCAGAGAATGGAGGATGAAGATGTTCTTCACACAGCCGATGAGCTCATTGATTTTGTGGAACTTTATAACGGTAACCATAAATTGCACTCTATTTGACGTGACTGCTTTTAGGTCTGAATTGCATTTCATGGGAACCACATGCAAATTATTAAGACAAATAAAAGTTTGTATGAATGAACAAATTAATTTAAAAAATGTAAAAATACATTTTCTTTCCTCTACAGATTAAAATGTTTTTTACATTAAAAGTGAATGCATTGCTACACATTCAATTAACTGAAATTGACGAACCTGACCAGTGTTATTATGCCTTACATAAATGTTATTGTTGATACAAATGCACCTGTTTCTTGCTCGTGCATTTATAAGATCTATTCTTAGACACTGTTTGAATTGAAATGAACACAGCATATAGAGATACAATCCTGCAGATCATATGTGTGTAATGTATTCGCACACTATGTTTGTACATGCTGGTTTTTATGCTTTTCTCCTGTCTGTTCTGCCCTCAGTGGAACAGGAACAAATTCAGAAGAGAACCTTCACCAACTGGATCAATGCCCAGCTGTCTAAGGTGAGGGTCAAAGTTCATCAAAGTTAATCTTGACTTAGAAAATCTATATCAGTAATAGACTCTATGTCGTGTTTATCTGAATCATCATGAACTTCACTTGCATTATTTTTAATAATTTGTATTAACTGCGAATAACACATAGGACTTTTTCACTTCGGAAACTGCACCTAAACTACAGATAAATGACGGACATGGAAAGTGTTGTTCGTAGAGGTCATTCCTGCAGGTTCTCCAATAGCGGGGAGGGAATGAGGGGTGTGCAGGGGGTAAATATAATCTTCTCAAACATGGCCCAGAAAGACAGACAGCAACAGGAGTTGTGTCAGCGCACGCACACACTTGTGAACACACATATTCACAGCCACAGCTACTTATAAAGTGAGCAAATGACACAATCAGTTTGACGTGGCTTGGCGTCCTACAGGCATGAACGGGATGTGTGCACACATAAAAGAGACATCAAGGTGTCTTTTCAGATCATTTCATATGCTCATTTCTGTCTCCCCTCCGTTTTATGTAAAAGGTTGAGTTCACATAAGCTTCTCTGATTTGTCCTCTAGACATAATTTGAATATCTGCCGTGAGCATTGACTCCTGTTACCTAACAAATGGACACTATACAATATTCCAGCAATACAATTTTATTCAAAAAGTTTTGGGTAGATTTAAGGGGAAATTTGCTGTCATGAAAATTAAGCCATAATGCAAAAAAAAAAAAAAAATTAAGTGTAAAATAGTTTGTTTTTTAGTCAAAATGTATTTTATATCTTAATTCTGAGGTGAGATATGTTTTCATTTGATTTGCCTGTATGGTTTAGTTCTGAAGTTATAAACCATGTGCATTCTGCTGTTTAATGTGGGATATTTCATTCTGCTCTCTCAGAGGAGTCCTCCGGTTACTGTGCTGGATCTTTTCAATGAATTCAGAGATGGAAGCAGACTATTGGATCTGCTGGAGGTGATGAGTGGTCAGAGAATGGTAAGTGTCTAGTTCAATAGTTGTTAAAGGAATAGTTCACTTACAAATGAAAATTCTGTCATCATTTACTCACCCTCAAGTTGTTTCAAACCTGTATGAATTTCTTTCTTCTGCTAAACCCAAATGAAGATATTTTGAAGAATGTCGGTAACCAGACAGTTGCAGTTGATGGACCCCATTGACTTCCATAGTATTTTTTTTCCTACTATGGGAGTAAATGGGGTCCATCAACTGTCTGGTTACCGACATTCTGCAAAATATCTTCATCATCATCTTCATATTCATCAGAATTTTCATTTTTAAGTGAACTGTTCCTTTAACTGATTTTTCAATAACCTATGCTGATATCTAGAGAGCAAGATGGCCATCGCCCAATATACACATACCTGTATGTATAATATAATGCAATATAATTTGATATAAGATTTATGAGACTATATTAATGTTTATTTTGCCCTATTACACTCCAGATTTACTCAAAAATGTTTGAAAACAGAAAATGTGCACTGTCCAGTTACTAGGCTATTGGTGCAAACCGATAATTTCAAAATGGCAAAATATTGGCAGATATAAGAATCTATTACTAAAACTTAATGAGCAGGGATTTTCTAATAATCATAACCAACCTTCATTACAGAGCCGGGAGAAAGGAAGGGGGACATTTCAGCACAGATCAAACATTGAGAAAGCTCTAGCGTTCCTTATGAGGAAATCGGTAAGATGCCACACTTAAAAAAAAACTTCTGGAAATGTATTTCAATGAGCTTTCAATCAGTTTAAATTTGCACAAAAAAACTTAATTTTTGTTGAAACTACATTTTTGTTTGTTTGGGCAGATTTTCTGTTCCCAGCATGCATGGGACTGAATGGGGAAAGTACATATTAAGAAATTAAGCTGTATTTTATTTGTTTTTAAGTAGAGGAGGGAGACTTGTTAGCATGTGGCTAATAAAAGATTATGGTCTGCTGCTTTGAAGAAAAATCGCATTTTTCTTTGCCCTAGTTTTCGTTCACTTCTGTGTGAAGGTGAAATATCAACATCTGTAACTTTATCAACATCTTTACCCTGCAGATCAAACTGGTCAACATCAATGTCTCGGACATCATGGATGGCAAGCCTTCCATCATTCTGGGTCTGGTCTGGACCATCATCATGCACTTTCATGTACGTTTGCTGTCTCAGTGTAACAAAAGAGTTGGGTTATATCAACCCCTAGATATAAACTGAGGAGAATGATTGCCAGTTTTGTTGGATGATTTTTCTGATGGGTCTTCTACGTTGTTTAGATTGAAGAGTTGGCCAGCACATTGTCCTTTAGTTCTCGTCAGTCGTCTCTGGAATCGCTGGCGAGTTTGGACTCTCGTTCCACCAGCAGCAGTGCCCGCAGCAGTCCAGTGCCACCCCGTGGTTCACCCCTGCACGCACGTTTCCGTGTATCCGCCAAGAAAGCCCTGATGCTGTGGGTCAGAGAGCAGTGCCAGAGGTGAGGAACAACCTGCTGAAAGGGATTCTTGGGAACAGTGAGATTCTGTACTATAAAACCATTCATCTTTTTCTGTCTTTTCAGGGCTGGTTGTACTCTGAATGTGAAGGATTTTAAGGTGAGCTGGAGGAGTGGCGTTGTGTTTTTGGCGATACTTCATGCTCTAAGGCCGAATATAGTGGACCTAACCAGAGCCCGAACGAGAACGAACAGACAGAACCTGGAGGAAGCCTTCCACGTTGCTGAAAGAGAACTTCACATCCCCAGACTACTAGATCCAGCCGGTAAGTGTGTGTTTGGGCAGTGCAAATGTACTGTATGCTGTGCAGTTTTGTTTTGTGTGTGTAACAAACAGTAATATGTTTGTGCTTCTGTTTTATATGAAATTATCATATAACAATGGTGTATTTGTATTTCAGATGTTGATGTTAGGGATCCTGATGAAAAGTCTATAATGACTTATGTTGCTCAGTTTCTACAGTACTCTAAAGATACTTCTGTTTCTGACGAAGAAATGCAGGTTAGACACACATACACACACTTAAACTTTTATGTACACTTTTGAAGATTTCTTGTTTACTTTTTCACTGTTTACAATTACTATACCCTAAATTTGACCTTTTACAGATGGCTTTTCCCATTTGAACCATTTTCACTAGTGAACACTGTCCTCACAAGTATGGAAATAAGAAATAGTTTAACCAAAAATTATTGTTCTGTCATCATTTATTTATTCTCATGTTTCAACTATTCCTTGAATTGTTCCTTTAGTAGGATTAACTACAGCTGCACGATTAATCGAAATAAAACAGAAATCACGATAGAGCTTTTATTTTAAATCACATTTTGAATCTCAAACAATTTAATAAATCGTAATCGTAATTTTTTCGAAATTAGATTTATGTAATACTATATTTGTGAGACTTTTTTTTATTCAATCATAATTAACAAGTGATAGTATTCCTCCAACATTTCACACTGTAAATCTAAATGCTCAAATGACTCTTTATGCTCTCTTATCTCTTTATCTCTTTTTCCTTTTGTTTTTCTTTCTGTTTTCTCCCTCTCTATGGTGGTTTAGTATCTCACTCCTCCTCAGCGTCTCTCTCCTGTCAATCTGCCATCAGACTTTACTCCATCTATATCTGTGTCATCTCTAAGACAGGTACTTCTATCTCTTTGTCGCTCTCTCTGTTATTTTTAGGTGCTTGATTCATTCATTAACTGCTCTTTCTCTTTTAGTTTGGTAAGGTGTGTTAGTTTTTGCTATCAGTGTCAGGATTATTCAGAATTGTCTATGAAAGGTTAATTTGAACTTGTCCGCCCTGTTTAACCTGTTTTGTGAGCGAATACACTACTGTTATTGTAAGTGGTTGACACGTAACATGTTTATAGACTTCTTTTAAATCATCAAGATTTTGGGTTAAAATGTAAAATAATGTGTAAGTAAAAGTTTATATCTTCCTGTAGGTCTAATGCTTGAAACTGACTGATTTTGACTGAAGAGTTTGAATGCTATGGCCCACTTTTAATTGTTTTACTTGATATGTTCTCTGATCAGGCTCACCTGTTAATGCCCTGTCCAATCAAATCAGGCCCTCCCCAATCACCTGATACAGCTAGAGCAGCTGGCCCTGGGGTAAAATATCAACCCCCCTCTCCCCTTTTTAAAATACCCCCCTCTGATGCTTCGTAACCAGTGTTTATACCAGTGTTTTGCATGTATAAACATGCTGATGACTATAAACAAAATTATGAAGATAATCCCAGAAATTACAGAGCTAATCCATTAAAACCAGAGAAAATCCCTGAAATTTAAGGAGATAATTCAATTAATAAAGCCCCTCTTGTGTTTGAAGATTCTAATACACTTAACTTTAGCTTTCATGGTACTTGGCAAAAATTGAGCATTTTAATCACAGACATGCTGAGAAAGTTGGTTTGTGTTTGAACTTGCTTCCTGTAGAGAACTGCAATACTAAACTTTGACTGCTTTACTGTTTAGTGTGCAGTGCAAATGGTTTAACTCGTGCTTTTTTGTTTAAAAAAATTCTTTTTTGTTTCTGTCTGTCCAGACCTCAGCCAATCAGAAGGCTCAGGAGGTCACATGCTGGTTGGATCAGGCCTATCAGGAGCTGATAGAGGGATGGGACTCCACAGAGGGAGAGAGCTATGCTGAAAGATACCAAGTAAGACCTGAATATCAATAAATGTCTGAGGGGACGTTTATACAACACCGGTTTTAACTAAAAACTTTTCATTAAAAATGCTCCTTTAGTTAGTTTTTGGTGCGTTTTGGCCGTTCATTTACACAAGTATAGCGTTTTTGGGCCCTGAAAACACAAACTTTTGAAAATGGGTTTCATAGTGTTTCATAGTTTTTGAAAACGATGCCCTTATGTCTCTGTGTAAACTTCAAAAATGTGAATTTTTTGAACAGTGAACAGTTTTTGGTCCAGAATTTATATATATATATATATATATATTGTTTACTGCAATGTTTTCTAATACCTACTGTATTATGTCATTGACTGTGTTGAAATACTGAGTTATAATATCCTGGTAATCCTGGTAAATAAACACATTTTAGATTTGCATTGGTTTTGTTGTACATGATGATTTGCTTCTGTTGTTGATTTGTTGCATTAATGTTTATTTACATTTGTTTCAGGTCTTCCACACCTTCATTGTGTCCTTCAACGAGCAGAGGCGGCCCGTAATGCCGTTATTAACAGCGATGAAGAGGACACCTCAGCTCAGTGTAGAGCAGAAAGCCCTCAGACGAGCATGGGACACTCTCGCTGAGAAGGTCAGAGTTCACAGCATCACAAAAACTTTCTGTTGTGTTACTTTCTTGATATTTGATGGGTTTTATTTGATAATTCAATTTTGTGCTGAGATTCATTAGACTCAATTGAAAAATCGAAAAATAATGAATATATATGTCTAAATGCGTGCCATGTAAATGGATGAACTAGCTTCCTAGTGTATAGAAATACACAGAAGTCGTATGCTAATTGATTTGCACTGATATATGTGTATTTGGTAGCTGCGTGAGTATAAAACCGAGCTGGACCTGAGTCTCCCATCTCCACTGGACGTTGTGGGCCGCTGGTTGTTGCGTATTGAAGAGGTTTTATCTGCCGAAGAGGGCGAGCCAATGGATCATGCTCGAGCCGCGGAGGAGGCCCGTGAGAAACTCGATCTACTAAAGGTTTGACTGACTTCCATATATTAATTGTATTATGCTATAGAGCTGTTCATTCATGAAAATGTAATTGATGTCATATTTCTGCCACATTTTTGCAGGTGTGTTTGGAGGAGATGTCACATCACATCAAGAGGTTTAATATGTTTCAAAACACAAATGAGTTTGGAGAGACTCTGGTGCCGACAGACAAGATGGAAGAGATGAAGAGAAGGTGAGTTTGACTGCTTAATCAGACATGAATCCTACTGGGAATGAAACAGCATCACTTTTAATGACAATATTTCTGTTATCGTTTCATGAACAGCAGTAAACTGTATTTAATTATTTTGTGTACGTGTCCGTTTTCCAGGTTCACCAGTGTCCGTGTAACAGCTAAATATCATGGTATTAAACTGGAGTACCATGAGCGCAGACACACAGTGTTAGACCTGGTGAATCAACTCAAAATTAAACTGCGTTCTTGGAAAAGAGCCTACATTTCCCAGGAGGCTGTTCGTGTGCTAATGCAGGACTGGAATGTAAGTGAAAAATGACAGAATGCTAAAAGTGTATTTGCTGCTGGGCATTACTTTTCGATTACATTAAAATATTGAAATCATTGAAGCTTTAAAATTTGATCACAATTAATGTTTTTAGGAGACTGTGAACAAACAGGACTTGACCTCTTTGCTGGATGGAGCCCTCCACAGATTTAAACTAATCGCTAACAAATACACCAGCAAGGCTGCCTTGGGTAATACAAAGAAAGTGTGTGTGTGTGTGTGTGTGTGTGTGCGCGCGCGCGCGCATAGCAATTACAGTATAAATAAATATGACAATGAAATGGCGTTTTTTGGTGTTGTAAGTGTTGTTGTTAATCAATAATTATTGATAAGCTGATGTCTGTTTCAGCTGGAGACTCCACACAGGTAAATCGCCAGGTGGCTGATCTAGAAGCAGATGTGACAGCAACTCTGGAAGGTATACGGATGATGAGAGGAACTATGGGACGTGTGTTAGCAGCATGGGACTCTTACAGTGATATCTATACCTCAATGCGCGCATGGCTGGAGCAGGGTCCGCATAGTCAGCGACACGGGCAGGGAACAGAGGTACACACAAACTCGTAGAAAACTTTTAATTTACTTTTTTTTATTGTAGTTTTTAATGCTATAAAAAAATTGTACTGGGCAGAAAAACCTTAAGTATTTTAATAGCTGTTTGTGTGTTTTTTTCTGTTTATTGGAATATACACATGCCTATCCATCGACTTTTTTACTTATTTTATTTTTAGGTGACATTATCAGTGATGTCAGAGTGGAGTTCTCGGCAAGCTCACCTGAATGAAGTGGCCAACTACCTGACTGAGGTCACAGACCCGCAGACTAGCCGCGCTATTTCAGACGAACTCTGCAAGATAAATCTGCTCTGGGCTGACTTTGCCAAAACAGCCCAGTTTGTGAGTCACCCATCATGTTCAAACTTGAATAGTCTATGTACAAACATATTCAAAAGTAAAGTATTTAAAAATGTGCACTTATCTCAGTGGTTCTTAAACTTTTTTCGTCTGCCCCCCTTAATTTTTTTAAGAAATCTGCCCCCCCCCCCCCCCCCCCCCCCTAAAAAAGTGCAATGAAAAGCACCTGCAATAGTTTCACTTTGTAATGTCATTATTTCACATAACAGTAAGAGAGAATAATAATACAGAACTTAACTTTAATTTAAATAAACAAAAACATTTAAATATTTCAGTGATGCTTTGGATGAGCAATTTATAAAAGCGCAAATATATGACAGCTTTTGACAGCGCCTCACGTCACCAGCTCAGCTTCTTGTTTGTCTTTTCACCGGAACACGCACAGCAGCGTGTGGCGAGTTCACAAAAGCAGCTTGAGTTTCGGTCCGCTGAAGAAGTGCATTTCTACGGCGAACAACTTCTGTGTTGGGCTTGTTCCAGTAGCGACAAGTCAACGGTCTGAAGAAGAACGATTCAGTGTAATTTCAGTTCGATGCCGCTTTAGGCTCGGTTCACATAGGAAAAAATGAGCGCGTCGCTTCCATTATGAGCGCGCATACCGCGCGCCTACATTTGAAATAACGAACTTGAGCGATCAAAACACAAAATGAGCGCGTCGCTTCCATTATGAGCGCGCATACGTCCGCGCGCCTACATTTGATATAACGAACTTGAGCGAGCAAAACACGCGAGATGTGAACAGCACTATTCACGCACGCACTTGAATGTTGTTGCAACGGCTGTTTTTTTTTTCTGCTGATCTCCCGCGCCCCCTAATGCAGTATCCTTAAGGGGGTAATCCATCGACCGGAAGTTGAAGCCGGCCGGGTGCCGCCATGTTGTAGCAGAACTTCACTTGCGTTAGCATTTCCATTGACTCCCATTCATTTTGGCGTCACTTTGACAGCGAATAACTTTACATCTGAGGCGTTTAAAGACTCCATTTGTCCATTATTTATTTCTAAAGAAACACGACAATATATAAAGGGCTCCATTACCTTCTATGTTACATTATGGCCCCGTAGAAACAGATTTAGTAAAAATAGGCTAACGATTGCGTCATAACCACTCGACTCTCTGTCGCGCTGTACAGAAATTACCGTACAGACAGGAGGAGAAGCTTGCAGGCAATCGGGGGGACGTCCCGTCAAGGGAGAAGCCCATAGATAATGAGTCCATAAAAGCAACGGAATTCTTACTCCTGCTCACTCACGCCAAAGAACTCTTTGCTCAAGTTCCCCGTCTCTGCAAGATTAACGTTGGCAATTTTCACGCACAGCTACTAGAAGATTAACGTCTGTCAGACAGGTTGCTCACGTCATCAAGCTTAGTTTGAGTCGGTTTGAGTCTGCGCGTCAGGAACGGAAGTGCTAAAAAATCGCTAAAAATGGGCTTCAACTGTCTCAACTGAGTTCCAATGAGATGGCTCTGTCCACTTCTTATACTGTCTATGAGTATCCTTGCACCCCCCCCCCCCCCCCCCTGTGAGAACCATCTTGACTTGGGACAATGAGTTGTTTTGTTCGATTGTGTTGGACAGAGAATCTACTAATTTGTTTGCTTCTACAAATATAAAATAGGTTAACATAGATTGGATGGTAAAGCTATGCCTTTCCTTTTTTTTCTCAGTCTTTGGCTGAGGAGCCCAGTGCTGGCCCATCTAGTCCTCAGACAGTTCAGGCTCTGATGAGGGAGGCTACTCAGTTACTGAAAGAACCTGTGGATGTGGTTTCTGGATCGCTACGTACTTATACAAAGAGACTACAGGTACGTAGTGTGTGAACAAACTCTAATGCACACACTCACGCATAAATAAAAACATACAATACTTCATATGCCCTGCCGTTTTTTGTAGTAGCTATTTGTGATTATGTTGCTTTATCTTTTTGTTTTCTAAATTTAAGACTAGACTAAGTAGGATTTAGCTTCAAATTGTTATTTCTCCCAGCTTATGATGAAGAAAATAAAGGATGTGGATCTAGAAGCCCTCTCCCCATCTCTAGACTGCTCTCCAGAAACCCTGAGCAAACTTCAGCAGGCCATTCCTGAGGTAAGCAAATGCATTGCTTTGGGTGGCCCCTTCAGTTTCTATCAGTTTACTATCAAATTATACATGACCCAAGAATATTAGCAGATCATCCTGTTTTTAAAATGTGTTAATCTAACACTAATTATGATCTTTTCTGATGCTTGTATTAATTTCTGTTTTTATTTGTTTATGTATCTATATCTATCCCTGTATAAATAGGTATTGCAGACACTCTGTGAGGCTGAACAGGTGTGCGATGAGCTGCGTGTGAGTGTGAGTGGGTTGGACGGGCGTCTAGCTGAACTGTTACACTGGGAGATGGAAGCCAGAGAGCTGTATCAGCTCCTGAAGGAGGAAACACACAGGCAGAAGAGAGGACAAGACCCTAGAGCCCGGGTGAGTATATAAAAGTATATACCACAAAATATTCATTAATTCTCCCTCTCTTCTCGCTACATCTCTTTACTTGGCTGAATTGAAATAAATTCTCTCTTTTCGTGTAGTTGTTAATTTCGAGAGGGCTACAGTTAGAGGGTCAAGTGGTTATGGAAGAGCAGGATCTGCAGGTGATGGTCATGACTGGTCAGAAGACTTCACCACTGCAGTATCTCATCGCATCCACCATGCAGGACAGGGTCCGCTCTGTGGTTGAAAAGTCACAGGTCTGTCTATCGCTTTTAGATTTAGAACACTTTAAAAAGCTAACAGCACGATTGCACCTATACAATGTTAATTTGAAAGATAATATACAGCATTGAAACAGCTCTTTCAGTAATTATCAATTATGCCATAAATAATGTTTTCTGTTAATTTCATATAATGCCAAGGAATGAATAACCATGTTTTAGAATTGTATGCAAATGCATTATGATTTTTAAATTTTGTTAAACCTCAACAGGAAGCCGTAGGCATGCTTAGCTCTTTGGGGGCTTGCAGAGACAGAAGCCCTGTTGGAGACCAGCCCCCTTCCAAGATTTTTGTCCAATATCAGGAGGCAGAGGAAGAGTCCAAAACCCAGAAGCTCTCCTTCCAGGCTATCTCTCCTTCAGGAGCCCCTAGCCAGACAGAACCCCAGCCTGCAGTCAGAGCCAAAGTCCCAGTATCTTCTCAGAAACCATCAGGGGTACCTTCTCAAGCTGTAGTTCTCAAGAGCCAGCCGTGTAGTCAGCCTGTGCCTATGATTGTTGTACAAGAGTATGAAGAAGAGAACAGGAGTCCACAACCACAAATGCACCCCTGTGAGCAAGTGAAAGACTCTCAGTCTATTGAGCAAGTGAAAGACTCTCAGTCCATTGAAGTGAAGGCACAGAAAGTTGTCCAAGCTCAAGCAAAAATCAAAGAGCATCATGTAGAAACCCAGACATCTTTACCACAGCCTGAGACACAAAAACAGACAGAAAACCAGTTGAAGATGCAAGCTCCAATTGCTAGCCAACCCTCACATAACCTGCAAAAAGCAGCATCCCAAGTTCATAATGAACAACAATTAGCAACACAGCCACACGTGCACATCCAAAAACAAGAAAAAACTCAAGTTACAAAACTGCAGAAGGTTCAAGCACAAACGGCAATCCAGTCACAGCCCCAGGGCCAATTAGAAACACAATCACAGAAAGATATTACAAGCCAACATCAAGCTCCAAGGCAGAAGAGGAAGGCAAAAAAATCCCAGGCAAATCTGCAGAACAGACCTTGGCTTCAACAGAGGAGTCAACTGGAAAATGTTACCCAAAAACCAGCTCAACTGGTGCCACAATCTCAGTCAGAGCCAGAGGACAAGGGTCAAATAAGTCCTCAAGCACCACCACAACATATAGTGGCTGTTAGCTCACCTGAAGCTCAGGGACCTGTTCATGGCACGGTGACAACACAATCTAAAAGAATTGTTGAGAGTGGTGAGAAACGCATGAAGCAAGCTCAACCTGTTGCACAAGAGGAACCCCTTATAGTGACACAAAAACTACCTCTAACTGTGCCAGCAGTTGCAGCACAACCAGTGATTCAAAAACAACCACAACAGTGTGTGTCTCCACCGATTAGTCAACAAGTATTAACCCAACATCCACCTCAACCCTCTATATCAACTCAAACACAAGCAACTACACAATACTCACAAGCAACTGCACCTATTCAGCTACAAAAGCAACCTCAAACACCGATATTGACACCACAGCAACCTCAAGTGATGATCCTGAAACAGGCACAACCTCAATCCATGACTCCCATGCAACCACAATGGCAGCCACAACAGACTATTCCACAATCTCATCCTGCACTGCCACAATCACAAAGATTTCCAGTGACCCAAGCAATGCCCCAAGGCATTTCCAGACCAGGGCAGCAGTACCCAACATATCCCATTCAACCACAAGTTATTATGCAGAGACAACAGTCACCACATGGTGTAGTGCAGACCCAGCAACCCACACTGCACAATCCGACTGCGATTTCCCCTCAGCCCAAAGGTGCATCCCCCATACAACCCAGAATCATCTCTATGCCTCAACCCCAGATGCCTGTTCAATCTCAAACCCAAACTCAGGTCAAAGCACAGGGAAGTGCACCACTTATGATTCAACCACACGGGCAACCCCAGTGGTATCAACCAGGAGATGTCTCCCAAACTTACCCCAAAGTCCATGGACCAATTTCTGTTGCTGCCCAAATGCAGCCTCTGGCCCATTTCCAAACTCATCCCCAGCCTCAAAGTGTCCCTCCATCTCAACCTAAGCAGTGGTCAACAATAAGACCAGGCATGGTGGCCCAGACTTACCCCACTGTTGAATTTCCAGGTCAGAAAGTCCAAACTCAATCTCAAATGGCAGTTTACCCTAAAACTCAGCCGCAACCACAGCCTCAGCAGTGGCCCCCTGCTAGACCAGAATCACCTTGGGGTCAATCACAGATAAGACCCCAAGGTCCAGCACAGCATATGGTTCCCTCTCAGCAATGGAGACCTGTCAGTCCAGAGAGAGTCAGTCCAGTATACCCAAAGGCTGAATCTCAAGGGCATGGACCATATCCTCAGCACCAATATCAAGCCCTTCCAAGGGCACAAAGCCCTCAACGTCAGTGGGGTCCAGTCCGGCCAGAACATCAGTTTCAAGTCTCTTCCCAGACTATGTCCCATAGTGTTCTCCAGCCAGTAGCTCCATGGAATCAGCCACCAGCTCAAGCTCCCATAAGATCTCAGAGTCCACAGCAGCCTCAGCAAAGTCAGCAGAAGTGGGGTTCATCCAGGATAGAGGCCCCATCTGAAACTCTCGTCCAAAGTCAAGCTGCTCAGACAGAGCTTCAGTCCCAAGATCTGACAAAACCTCAGTTACCAGTACAGGAACCGCCCCAACAGCAGTCAGCTCCTCGGGTTAAGCAGCCAGCACTTGCCCAGGCTCCCCCTAAAGCCTATACTGAGGCTTATATAAAGGCACAGGCCCTGGTTAGGAATAGATTTGAGGAAGCCAAGCACTGTCTTCAAGAGCACATTCTCGAAGCTATCAATGTATTCAAGGATAAGCGAATAACAGAGGAACAGGCATCAGTTAAGGAGGTTTGTCCATTTTAGACATGACTTGGTTTGCTTGTTTTCCTCTAGTGTTTTCAAGAGCCAAAAAGCCAAATTTCATGAAAATGTACTGTTGTGCTTGGGTCTTTTATAAGAGAATAACAAGTCTCAGTTTCTCAAGTGTCTGTGTTGTTTTTTGTTTTCAGGAGACGCTTCGGACTCTGGACCCTGAACTCCTTGAAGAGTTCTTGAGGGCTACGGAAGGAATGGAAGCTTTCTGCACCCCATCTGAACTTAGAGACATGGAGTTTTTCACACAATCTGTCAGAACACAGTGGAAGGTATATGCGTAGTAATATTGGTGCTTGTGTGTCTATATCTGCAGTGTGACTGTATTGCAATGTTATTAACCATTTTTATTTTAGATACTGTTTAACTGAAATGCTCGACAGTATATTGAACTGTGTGTGAAGTTAACATTAACTCAAACATTAAGAGATTGTGTGTTCTTTTGTGTGTTTTTTTATTAATATTTGTAGGCTGTTCGAGTGCAAATATCAGAATTTTTGAGGCAACTCAGATTTGAGCTAACCCGCCTGCATTTTAACCGTATGGTTGAGATATGTGAGATGCACTTTAAGAGGGAAAAACTCAGCCTTAGGCCTGAATCAATATCGGAATCAAAGGGAGAGGTAAAGTTACTTACCACCCTGACCACAGAGCATGAACATCATATGATCAAATGGGAAATTTCTCTCTTTCTTTACATTTTGTTTCCTTTTATTTTTTTAAATTAAACTTTTGATTTGGGTTCCATTAATCCCTAAATTTCTTGTTCTTGTCTTTCCTCTTAACCACATTGCTACTCACTCATTTGGCATGACCAATTTTTATTACCAGTGTTTGCATGTTCCAAGGCAACAAAAAAATACTGCCAAATTAAAACAATAAAGGAGCTTACAATAAAGTAGCAGCATTAAAGTGCCCCTATTATGCTATTTTGTAAAGGTTCCTAATCCTATAATAATTTTGTTTTAAAGGTCTCCTACAACCGGTTTACATGCACCAAAGGTCAAAAAACCTTTAAATTTTCTCATAATATATATTACACTATATCACTACATTTTTCAATTAATCTCAAACGACTCTTTCGATGATTCAGTCTCTCTAAATACCTCCTTTCTGCGAGCTACTCTGCTATGATTGGCCAGATAACCCAGTCTGTTGTGATTGGTCTACCGCTTACAGCGTGTGTCGGAAACGAAATGTTTATTACCATAATTTAACTTCAGCTCCGGAGGCTTCCTAAAATTCAGAGTTCATAGTCGATTCTTTCTTTTGAGAGACAATAGCTTTATTTATCGTGCACTTTCGGTTTCACAACTTTGCAGATCGTTTACATTCACAGACAGCTATATAACACACTGAATGAAAGGTAATATTCGAAAAAGCATAATAGGGGCACTTTAAATAAAAATATTAAATGACAAAATAATAATTTTGTGATACAGGTTTAGTGAAACAGTTTTTTCTCGCTTTCTGCAGGCCTGTTTTTCAGCAGAGGGCAGTCTGGCAGAGGCAGGGCAGCAGCTTGAAGCTCTGAAGGAGTTGTGTGATACTCTGAGCCCTGAGGACGCACACAGGCTCGCACAAGCCCAACTCAGAGAATGTGAGAGACGGCTTGCTGCCATCCAGCGGCAGTTTAGTGGAGACAGAGATACACCTCCTCCGGACACTGGGTAAAAGAAGGAGAAAGAGCCTCTCTCATATGTGTTATTTTTGTCTGATAAAAACATTTTGGCATTAATACATTTTTTTAATGCCTAATAGTTCACAAACAGAGCAAACCCCTGAGCCATCCCCTCAGAAAGCACCTACAGTCTCACCACCAGCTGAGAAGCCCAAAGAAGTTATTTCAGAGGTACAGCTATATTAATATTTTTTAGGACATAGGTTTTCTTTTTATATAATAAAGTTAGTCCCTAATAAATATATCTTTGGTGGATTTTGTGTCTGGGGGATATTGGTTTAGGCTGCTTCACCGGTTAGCCCCCAGCGACCGAGAACTGTGGAGAAGAGGGAGATAGTGAAACAAACGAGTACAGAAGAGGACAGGTATGGATAAAAAGAGAATATTGTTTATGTTTCTGTATATGTTTGTGTGCGGTATTGTGTCAGATTCTTATGGTTTACATCTGCTTTACATCTTGGATTGCTCAGGTACCGCAGCTCCAGATTTGCATTACAAGCTCAGCTAAACAGAAATGAGCAATGCATGCTGGGAGATCGTCCCTCAGAATCAGTCACTCCTACAGACCTGCAGAAAAGACTAAGAGAATTAAAGGTAATGCACTGTGTTTTGTGTAGGTTTAAAGCTGGTGATTTAATATACTGCATTTTCAAAGGACAATTGCTTTAAAAATCAGGCCGTAGCAACTTTTATAACTGGCAGGGAAATTACTAAATTTACCCCCTCTCTTTTTTGTTTTAGTCTCTGTGGGACGAGACAGAGACTTTGTGGAAGGAGTATGAAACACTGTGTATGCAATGTGTTCAATTCAACGAACGATCTGTTGAGCAGGACCGAATGGAGCTCACTGTCAGGTGGAGAGAGCAGAGGTCACAGTTACAGGGCAGGTATGTGTGTGCATCAAGAAAACATCCCTGTCATATGAAAGTTCGTGTGTTCAGACATTGCATTACTTTCATCTTTCAAAGCAGTATAAGCTTTAATGTGTGTTTTAAACTAGTGAGCTGAAATAAATATTCACATAACACTACAGCATATTACAGCTTCTATTTTGTTCTTTCACCCAAATGATCATATGATCCACTCAAATCAAAGAGTTCCAGAGAAAATATCCTGTAGCCAGACTGTCTGTGTGTGCATTGTGTTGTTTGTTAAAATAAGTCAATGCTCTCTGTCAGGGTGAATTCTCTGGGAGCAGCACTTGAGCTCATGGACTCCATTACGCTGAAAATCTCGGAGTTTTCTGAAAGGCTGGAAAAGTTCATTAAAGAGCCCAAAGACATTAAAGGATATACACTAGCTAACCCTGTCATTCTGAAAGATGTGAAGGTGAGAGACATTTATATTTATTAATTTATGATTCTTATTTATGGTTCTATTTGTGGTTAAGCTTCATTATGAAGACACAAATACCATTTTATTTGGTTAATGTAGTTTTTATTATCTGTCACTCTAATTTATATATAGCATTTATTCATAATAATATTTACTTAGAATGTTTCATATTTATATCCACTGAGTAAATGAAATGAGGAATGTACAAGTACACAGATGGCATTTTATTTGGTAAATGTTCCTATTTTTAGTAGCTATCACTCTCATGCAACACATCATAAAATATATTATGTAATAATATTTACTTTTTCTACTTTTAGATATTCTAATTCTGAGTAAATAAAATGAAAGATTCAAGCTGTAAAGGGCTATAAATTTAACACATTAATTTAGTATAATAAATTATTTTTTAAAAATGGGGGACAAAAATATTAATGCATTCAATCATGCATTCTGATGATCTGTACATAACAGGCTCTGTCTATTCAATTACATAGTTCAATTCGACTGCATCATTTGGATATCTTTTCTCATCTTACTGTATATTTGTATATATGATTGATATTTACTATTAATCATATATTTGTATATATGATTGATATTTACTATTAATTTGAATCATCTATCAGTGCTTTGTGCAATTACTATTTAAATATAATATAATCTGAGAGACAAGGAAGTTTGACGTAATAGATTCCGTAGTAATGTCACTGCAAGTCATCCCATCTTTTTATCTAAATATCTACCTCGTCCTCATTTTCAGGACCTAGATGAAAGTATCCAGACAGAGATGGATCGTCTGTCTCGATTCGACTCTGAACCCAGTCATCTGGACCTGCGAGACCGATCACCTCTGACTCAGGTGGTTCTGAGCCACAGATCCAGCCTGGACCGACTCAGGCAACAAGTGCGCAAGAGCGACGCTGCTGCCCGTGCCCTCGACCGCTTTCTCATGTCCCTGCGGACCGTGGAGCTCGATGTCTCTTCTGTGCAGAGCGCCCCTAGCAATGATCATGTGGTACTGCAGGACAGCAGGTCTAAGCTGGCACTAATCAGGAAGGGAGTCAGCAGCCTTAAGGATAAGGCTCCACAGCTGGACCAGCTTTTGGGCGGAGCACAGCTCGAGGTGACCCAGGACGGGAGCCCTGTTTCCTGTCTGGATATGGTGGGCGTCCTGGTTCACAGGGTGGAAGAGGCAGATGATCGTCTGATGATTCGACAGAATGAGCTCCAGAAGGAACAGCAGAACCAGGGACTCGGCCTGAGAAGGAAGACTATGCAGGCTGAGCTGAGAAAGGTGCAGGGGGCAGCAGAAAAACAAGGTCTAAAGGATCCCACCATGCCAGCTGTGCAGCACCGGTATTGACATTTTTTCAAGTGTGTCTTGGAATTGTCTTTATTTGGGCTTAGTAAATATTGATTTGGTGTTAATTGATCTTAATTTGATTAATTAATCAGCATGTGGTTTATAATTTAATTATTTAAGCAATTTAATTGATCGATAGCCCCTTTTTTTAGCAGAATGTCCAATTACACTGTGTGCATCTGTGTTTAGGATTCGAGCGCTGTCCGATCTGGAATCACATTTGAACTCTCTTCGCCCTGAATACCAAAGCATCAAGAAGCAGAATGAGCACCCTGATCCAGCAAACGAAGAGCTGGACTTCCTTTGGGAAGAGACTGAGAAAGCTGTATCTGACAGGTGGGTTCTAGACAAGAGATAAGAAAACTAAATTAATGAATTTTGCCCATTTTTCTGCCCTTATAGGGTTAGTTATTCACTCACCTTCATGTACTTCCAAACGAATTAAGAGAGATTTTTAGAAGATATTTTTAAACCTGAGATATTTCTGTCCTTCCACTGAAAATCCATTCCACCAAAACTTTCACACTTCAAATCGTTCATAAAGAGATTATAAAATAATTCCATATAAACCGAGAGGTTTAATCTTGTCTTTGTGGAGATGTTTTTTTTGTTCCCATGAAGAAAAAAAGCTTATAAATCCATACTAAGGGATGTTTTTTGAAAATGTAATAATGCAGACAGTTTTCTGTGATGGGTAGGTTTAAGGGTAGAGTTTGTGTAAGGGGATATAATATACAGTTTGTACAGTATAAAAATCATTATGTCTCTGTAATGTCCCCATAAAACATGAAAACCCAATATATGTGTGTGTTTGTGTATTTGACAGACAAGAGCAGTGCGCTGTTCTTCTGGAGCTGCTGAAGAAGTTTCAGAACTGTCGCAGTTACCTAAGCAACACTCTCCAGAGGGCGGAGCAAACGATCAATGAGCAGGCATCATACATGGGCAAAGAAAACCTGCAACGCCTCCTAGCAAAAGTATGTCAACCTCAGACTAATCCCAACTCTTCACAATACATGCTAATGTTATAATTGCCTATTGTAATTTACCATCAGTTTTCTTTCACATAAAAGCGATTTGTACCAGCAGGTGTCACTCATAGTAATGTCATTTCATTACTCATAACACAAGATCTTTTAAAATTCAGAATTGTTTGTTGTCTTAAGTTTCCATCATCTACATGTACATAATCTACACTTTTATTAGTCCAAAAGAAACTACTCTCATCGTTGCTCTGACGAATCTTTACACTGAAAATTCAATAACTGCAGGGTTATTGTTCATGGGTAGGATCAAAGAAATTCTTACAGGTTATAGATCATGCCTACCTAGAATGAGTAGCTTTAGATCCTTAACCATCAGGTCACCATGGTGACTTTTTCTATTTAATCTCATACTGTTTCTTTTAAGCGTAGTCCTTTATTATATTTACACTATGCGTTATTATCACAGGTCGTTGGCATAAAGGAGGATCTTAATGGCCTCGGACCCAAGATGGAGGAGTTCAGATCTGTGTGCAGACAGTTGCAGTCTCAGCTGAAGAAAATTCCTGATTGCTCAGAAACTCCCTTTGAGATGGAGGCAGATGCTTTGGTGGACTCATGGCTGGATGTGAGTATATGAAAAACATCTGTTCACATGCATCACACTTTCAGTCGTTTTAGTTTCTTGGTTAATCTGCGTGTCTCTCTGGCAGGTGTCAGAGAAGACGGACTGTTACATGGATAACCTGCGTTTGGGTCTGGAGTTGTGGGAGAAACAGCTGGTTCTGGGTGGAGACGTGGACAGCTGGACTTCAACTAAACTTATCGTCTTCTCAGAGTCTCACCCTTTCAGCAGTGAGACGGAGGTTCTCAGCTTGAAGGTGTGTCTTCACAAAATGCTTCATAGGCATTCAAAATGTTCACATAAATGGACTAAAAGGCACAAGACTATCGTTTTGATTTAACAGGTTCTTTATGTTTTTATTAGAATGAGATTCAGTATCAGGAGGACAACCTTGAACACTTCCACAGGAAGTTGCTAGAGATCCAGGAACTGCTGCAGAGCAAAGAATCTCCACTTGAGTTACAGGTGAATGTGCAGATTACTTTTTCTGTTTATTTAATGATGGCACTTACCTAATTCCTAATTATTCCTAACTTTAAGTGTACACACACTGTCTCCCTTAGGTAATGGAAACAAACCTGAGGAAGAAAATGGAGCAGGTGAAAGAGCTCTTCTCCGACTGCACTGACGTGTTCCAGGAGCTCCTCACAGTTAAAGCTCATTTGGCTGAAAAGATTGACACTTATCAATCATCTGTGAAGAATATACGCTCCTCAGTAGATTCGATTAGCTCAGAGGATCGCACACAGCTGGATGCGCATTTACAGGTATGATTAACAGACAGACGGACATGTATAAACACTCTCTTTTGGTGTATAATTTAATTAATTTTCTTTTGTAGGACTTGTGTGAGCAGCTTTTGGACCAGGAGGAGCAGGCTGAATCTTTGCTGAAGGAAATCAATCTCATGTCCAGCATTACTGGACCGCAGGCTTTGGAGGAGCTGACCAATGACACCAAGCATCTCAAAGACAGCATTGCGGAAACACGAGATCTGATTCATCAAAAGAAGGAACAGGGGGAGAAAAGCTTCCTTCAGACTATTAAAGGTTTGGAAACCTCATTCTTTGCCAAGTGCATTGTGCCATTATTACTTGGAAACTAATTGAGAAATTTTAAGTGATTTTTTTTGTTTTGTCTATTTGTCCCATTGGCTCTCTGCAGAAGAGTTCCAGTCATTTGAGGAATGGTTGCAGGATGAGCAGCTCTCTGTGAATGAGTGTTTTGAGAACCCTGAGAGGAAGCAGGATGTCGAAATGTCCATGCAGAGATTGACAGTGAGTAACAGTGAAGTCACAACCCTATGATTATGGTTTCCATTGTGGCTATGACATTTTTCAAAATACTTTTAAACCTTACTGTACAATACACTAATTGGACATTGGACAGCAATCCAATGCAAAGAATCACCAGGTGTTTGCAGCCTTAGTCAAAAGCATAATTATAAAATAAGAGGAGGGATTGAAATTTAGTAGTGTCTGTTTAACAATACTGAACAATTTGTTTTCTTCAGAGTTTCCTGGCCTCTAAAGAAGGAGAACAGCGTCTGGCCCAGCTGAAGGAGAGATTTGAGAGAGGCGAACAGGCAAAGGTTCCTTCTGAGGCTCAAGCTTTGCTCTCCTCATGGCACCAGGAACAGGAAGGAGAACTGGCCACACTCAGGGCTCACTGCCAGGGACGCCATAAACAGCTAGATGACATCCTCCACAACCTCAACAGGTACATGGACTGAGCTCACATCATAGCTATTTGTTGTTACTGTTTTTTGTTATCCATTCATTCATCCAATCATGTCTTTATGTATTTAGTTTGCAAGAGGAACATAACCATTTGAAGGACTGGCTTCAGCACAGGGAGAAAGTGCCAGAACAGAGAGAAAAAGTTCGACAAATCCAAGAGGAGTTTCTTAAAGAAAGGTATTCACTTTTCAAAATGTTCATTTTGTATTTTTGTTTAAAACATTTTTTTTTATCTTTTTCTTGTTCTTTTTTTTTTAACAAAATTAACTATAATTAAAAGATGTGACAACACATTTGCATTTTCTTGGTTCTATGACATGCAGGTAAACAAATTATAATTTTATAAATATAAATAATAATAATATAAATAATAATAATAATAATAATTATTATTATTACTACTATTACTAATATTTGTCAAATTTTAAACTCTGAAGCTTTCAATTTGGTGGAAAACTGCAGACTTTAGTTCTTTGTTTTTAGTTGACAACAGGTTTATGCTTTAAAATTCTTAAAAATACTGTCTAGGAAAATGTTGAATTTGTATGAATAGGAAAATAAAATGACCGTGGAACACGTTGCATATCCAATTGCATGTGACCCAAACTCACAGCACGAGATGGAGTTCGTTTGGAGCAGCGTTTGCGAGCTGCTCCAAGATGCTGAAACACTGGATCATGAGCTGCTCGCATGTAAATGAACACACTTCGTCAGACTTAAATCGCAGCCTTTTACAATGTGATCATTGCACTAAGCCATATCGCGATTTCAACTTTATTTAAATTAATTATTTATTTTAAATTTTACAATTTTTTTATTAACTTCGAAGCCCCTGCAGTTTCCCGGTTTTCACTGAGCAAGAAAGCTTTGATGTGCACAACAATTGCTGCAAAAATTGCTGTTGAATTACATATGCTGCCTTTCCACAAAGAAAATGAATGACCTGTGCTAAGTTTTGGGGAACAAATACTGATCATGTGCACCCATAAAACCTGCACAACTCTTACCTTCATCCTTAATCTACAGTGGTCGTATGGAGGCATTCAATGACCTGTTATCCACTGTAAGGATGCGTGGCCTGAGGGGAGACCCTTTCCTTAGAGACAGCGAGACCCTGATAGACCAATACCACAGCCTGGGGATTCTTTTGGAAAATCAGGCCCAAGTCCACAAGACCCTCGATGATCAAACTGAAACATTCCAAAACAATGCAGAGCAGATTAGAGCCTGGATCAGAGATTTAAAGCAAGGACTTGAGTGCATGGGCACAGACACGCCAATCCAAAAGAAACACATGAATGCTCAGGTGGGTCTCCTAACCAGCACAGTTTGGATTTTTTAGCTGTGTTTTGCTGGGGAAAACATACATATATTCATACATTCTTAAACACTTAAAGGGATAATTCACAAGAAATTTAAGTTCTACAATAATTTACTTGTTCTAAACCTTTAAGACTTTAATTTTTCTATTAACCACAGAACATCCATTTTTGAAGAGTATCCTCAATGTATTTAGGATGTTTCTATGTTTTAAGGCTGTTCTGAATCTAAGAGCTAAAGGTGATTCTAAACTGGTGGCTCTGAAAGAAGAGGGTGATGCTTTATGTGCTCATGAGATTTTGGAGGACACCAGAAGACAGGAGCTCATTCACACCCTCAGAAACATTGAGGATGAGTGGAAAAGAGTTCTGGAGATGGCTCAACAATTAAAACATCAGGCAGAACTCCAAGACACACTCTCCCAGGAACTAAAAGATCTACAGGCCCAGGAAGAGAGCACGCAATCCTGGGTGAGAGAACAACTGCAAATGCTGCACTATCTGGGGAAGGAACTTCAGCCACAGGAAAAACGAATTAAAATACAGGTAAGGGCAGAGGAAAAAGTTTATTTTAATTGAAAAGTCCTTTTTAGGAATCTTGAATGATTTTGATCTACCTAAATCAGGTTGTGTTGCTTGCAATGCACATATTGTGTTGGGGAGTAATGTCTGTATATCCTCTAGGCTGTATTGGACCTTGGTGATGAAGCCGATTCCAGATTGGCCAGTTTACAGAGACAAGGGAAAGATTTATGTTCTTATAAAGAGCTTGACAATGAGAGGAGGAGCCACATTGACCAAACCCAGAGAGCGATAGAAGAGGAGTGGAGGAAAGTGCTACAACTTGCCCAAGAGCTCAAGAACCAGGTCAAGCATGAGGAATCTCTCTACAGATTGATACAAACCTTCTGTGATCAGGGAGAGGACACTCAATCCTGGATTAGACGGCTCAGAGAGACCCTGGGTTCTCTTCGTGTTACATCTTCCATTCAAGAGAGGCTTAATGGAGTTGAGGTAATAGAGAGGAATATTTAACCCATAAATGGTACAGTAAGTGAGTGGGCCTAATTTATGATAAAATGAAATAGGTCTATTGAAAATTGGGAAACTATTCCGGTCAAGTGACTTTTATATCTGAAAGAATAATGGCAGTATGTTGTAAGAAAATCTCTGGTTTTGAGGTAAATGTTGATATTTTATGTATTACCTATATTTGTAGTTCCCTGTCAAAATACTGTTTCTAAGCATGACAATATTTATGTTGAAAAACAGATGAATATCTAAGGGCATACATTGGATTATATCAGATGACTAAAAGTAGCCGACACATCTTAAGCATTCAAAATGGAGGGCTACACAAATATCATTGTTGCATAAAGTGATAGGATGGGTCTTACTCCTTAGTTAAAGGGTTAGCTCACCCAAAATGTTTAATTATCCCATAATTTACTCACCCTCAAACCATCCTATGTGTATATGACTCTTCTTTCTGCCAAACACAATCAGAGTTATATTTTAAAAAAATCTTGGCTCTTCCAAGCTTTATAATGGGAGTGAATGGTATCAATTTGAAGCCCAAAAAAGTTCATCCATCCATCATAAAAGTAATCCATACGGCTCCAGGGGTTAATAAAGGCCTTTTGAAGCAAATCGATGAGTTTTTGTAAGAAAAATATCCATATTTATAACTTTCTAAACTATAATCACTGTCTTCCGGTAATTCCCGTACGTGAGTCGAGTTCCGGCAGAAGAGTGACCTCTGACCCGACACATGACGTAGGATGTAGCAGTAGCGTAAGCTCCGGTGAGAGTAGACGTCTCTCGCGGTTCAAGCAAATTGGGCTGGGCAACAAACTCAAGCTCCTCTGCTCTAATATCGAAAATTCTCTGACATTTCTCCTTAAAAATTCTTGTTTTAGACTTCTAATTCATGGCCGGTGTTTTGTTTTGCTCTTTCCTCTGCGCTTCCGTGTTTGTCAATAAGTCATGCGTTGACATCCACCCGAACTAGACTTGCGTACGGCAAGTCTGGGACGGCAATTGCACTGGAAGCAAGTGATTATAGTTTATAAAGTTATAAATATGGATATTTTTTACAAAAACGCATCGCTTCGCTTCAGAAGGCCTTTATTAACCCCTGGAACCGTATGGATTAACTTCATGAAGGATGGATGCGCTTTTTTGGACTTCAAAATCTTAGGTACCATTCACTCCCATTATAAAGCTTAGAAGAGCCTGGATATTTTTTTTAATATAACTCCTATTGTATTTGGCTGGAAAAAAAGGCATATACAGCTAGGATGGCTTGAGGGTGAGTAAAGTATGGGATGCTTTTTTTGGGTGAACTCACCCTTTAAGAAACAAGACAATATGTCCTGGAACAGTAAATATTTATTAAAAACCCATAAAGGCTATGATTGGCTGCACAAATGCATAAGGAAATAAAAGCATTAAAGAAATTTTATTGATGAATATCCTGTTTTTTTTTTTTTTTAGGCAGTACTAGCTCATAGATCTGAGGGGGACTGTAAACTTGCTGACTTAAAGACAAAGGGAGAGAGTCTATGTTCCTATGAAGATCTAGAAGAAGACAAATCCAGGACAATCCAACAGACTTTACAAGATGTACATCAAGAGTGGACAGGACTTTTGACGGATGCTCTTGAGCTGAAGAACCGATCAGAATTTGAGAATTCTCTTTCCAAGGACCTTCAGGATCTTCAAGAACAAGAGGAGCACACTCAATCTTGGATCAAAGAGCAGTATCTGAAGATTGAATTCCTAGGTGAAGATACTCCATTACAAGAGAGAATGAATGGAGCTCAGGTAAGAGACAAAGCGTGATATTCAACCTTCAACAAATATGTCTGACTTACTCACTGACATGTTTTTTGGTTTATTTACTTTAGGCCATCCTGAACTCTGAATCAGAGGGAGATTATAAGCTTGCCACACTGAGGAGGAAAGTAGAGGGTATGTGCTCTCGAGAAGGCCTGGAGGAGAAGAGAAAACAGGAAATCCAACTGAACCTAAGATCCATTGAAGAAGAATTGAAGAAGGTCCTGGCAAGAGCTCAGGAACTAAAGAACCAGGCTGAACTCCAGGATTCTCTCGAAAGGGAGCTTCAGAATGTATATACCCAGGAGGAGACCACCTGGTCCTGGGTGAAGAACCAGAAAGATGGCCTGGACTCACTGGGAACAAGCACTCATGGTACACAGAACCAGATTGAGGAGAGACTAAGCAAAGCACAAGTAAGTAATATAATATGGAGAAACTGAATAAAAAAATGAAGGAAACTTTAAATTCTGCTGCTGATGTCCATAGTGAAATGCTTATTTAAATGATGAAAATGTGGTAGTCAAGAACAAGTATACCCCTCTGTCTTTCAGGCAATTCTAAGTCTTCACTCTGAGGGCAACTCTAAGATTGCTTCCCTGAAAAGGACAGTAGACCATCTATATATCCGTAAAGATCTTGATGAAGACACAAGACATTCTCTCATTGAGAAAATGAAAAACGTAGAGGAGGACTGGAAGGCAACACTGCAGCAAGCACAGGAGCTGCATAGGTTTGATATAATAATTCTATATGTAAATAGTAATTGCACACAGCACTAATAGATGATTCAAATGATTGCAAATAATCATATATTCCACAGTCTGCTGAAAAGTTTAGTGGAACGCCTGGTGTCCTGCCAGTGTCAGAAGGAACAGCTTCAGTCTCGTCTGGAGCAGGTGAAACAGCAGACAGCTGCACTGCCACACCACTTCCCCTGGCCTGGTTTAGGGGATCGAAGGCACACAGTGGAGCAGGCCAAGAGTCTGCTAGACCGTACTAGAGCCCTGACCCCATCTCTGTCTGCTGTCCGAGCGCTCGGGAGGGAGATGAGCCAGCTGACCCGTGATTCCAGCTGGATCGATCCATCCTGGGCCACCATGGAGGAGTCCATTCCTGAGTTGATCAAAGAGATTACGGTAAGGCTGTAGGGGAGTGCTGTGCAAAATATTTCGGACTAATAGTGACTAGAAACCTGATTTATGTGTATGAAGTTCTTTTTGTATGTGTGCTTGCATAGGAGTTTTGCGTAAATCTTGAAGAGGAAATACGGAGGGAGCGAGTTTGTGCTCAGCTAGTTGAGCAGCACACCGTAGCTCAGGATTGGCTGAGAGAGCAGGTCAAAGGTTTCGGCGCCCTGCCCACTGAACGCCATGGGTTACAAGGCTCTATTAACACTCTTAAGGTCTGTTTGAATTCTTTGTTATTATATGTATTTTATTAAGACTGTCAATTTAATGCATTAGTTTAATTTAACTTAAATATTAAAAAAAAAAAATTAAAAGTTAAATGTTCTCTTATATAAAGGGAAATAAATTCTTTAGAAAATCTTTTTTAATTCCTTTTTTTCAATTAGACTTTTTTATTTATTTGACAGCTCTAATATATTTTCCTTTTTCCGTCAAACCTGTTAATTTATAAAATCATAAATATTTTATGGTAACTCTGTCATTTTTGAGTAAAATTATCATGTTTCTTAACCTTTCTAGGCGCTTCTTCAGACCGTAGACAGGGAGAAGAGAGAAATGAAAGAACTGGATGCTGTTAAAGATTCCCTGATGGACCTTTGCACTCCAGGAGGTTGTGATGCCCTGACCTTAGAGGTCAGCCATCTTCATGACCTCTGTGTGTTCTCGGAGAAGGAGATGAGGGAACGGTTATCTGTGTGTGAGGCCCGATTGAGTGAAATCGATCTAAGGCTTGCTGGAAGGGCACAGATTCTCAGGGAGCAGGCAGAGAGCCTCCTGGATGAGCTCTGTGCTCAGGACTACTCTTTAGGATTTCTAGTGGGTAGCCAGAATATCAGCCAGCTGCAGGAGAACTGGCATTGCTTCAAGGTATTGTGGGAGTATGCTAATTATTCTATGTTCAGTTGGTTTGTTCTAAAAATTAAGAGAAAGTCAGTGTATCCAAACCTTAGGCCTACTATTTTCCTTTTAAATTATTTTCTCATAGACATGTGAGAGAGACGTTGAGGCTTTAGAGGGCAAAGTTCGTGACCTTGGTCAGGCCCTTCGAATGGTCCCACCTGATGAAGAGCCCCCTATTGATGTCATTTCCATAGTGGACAAAGTTACACAACAATATTGCAGGTACATACAGACATGTTGCTTGTCAAATATTAAGCTGTTTAAAACAGAAAGGTCTATAATAATGTATTTAAATTTGTGCTGTTAACGCATTAACGCATGAGATAAATTTTTTCCAGTTTAACGCGTAAAAAATATTTAACGCAATTTACGCAGCATCCATTTTTTTCTGCTATCCTTTAGCTAGCGTTACATTATAGGATCACGCACGCAAATGCTTTTAAACCATTCAAGCGCGACAAGACAAACAAGGAGAATGCGCTGTCTGTGAATGCCGTTTCTGTGACACACACGACTCGTGTCGTGCACAGAAAGACGCTCACCAGTATTGAGTTCTCTTTCGTGCTTGAATGAACAATAGCACACACAATTAGGCTAAAATGTCAGTTTTGTCAAGTATCCTCACAAGAGCAGTCTTAAATGAGTTAAATAAAGTCTTAAATGAGTTAAATAAAGTCTTAAATGAACTTAAAGAGTTGTGAGAAAATAGGATGTGCGAATCTTAACGTGACAGCAGCCACTAATGCTGTCTGTCATTAAAGTTAATCAAAGAACAAAGGTAACAGAGAAAATTACTCACTGCTGTTGACTAATGATCTTTTGTAGCTTTAATAAGGATTAATCTTTATTTAATGTATCATTTATGCAGTGCAGACTGTTTGATAACTTCAATTTCTGTATATATACAGGTAGGAAGGGCACATGACATTTATTATGAGTTTATGTGAGGATTGTTTAAAGTTCACTTAAATTAAAAGTTGTTATATTTTTTGAAACCTAATAAATGTAAAATAATTAGTTTTCAATTACACTGTAGTTTTGAATGGCTATAATTAATGTTTAAAATTGGGAGGGGGGATCAATTTCATTGAGACATCAGTAGCAGTATGCTATTAGTATCAGTGATACTTTGCCTTCATTCATAAAAAGATGCCATTAACAAATATTTAAAATATACTGTATTTATGCTGTTTCTACATTAATTTGGAGATTAACTGTGAAATTATTACATTATAAAATATATAAAAATATTTGTAATCGCTATTAATCACAGAAAATAATTGTGATTAATCTAGTTATGTTTTTTAATCGATTGACAGCACTAATTTAAATCCAGTTTATTTAATTGTACTATGGATAGCATGTTTGTCTAACTGTTTTAGCATAATGTTGTATTATATTACAATAATATTTATTTATTGGATGTGCATTTTGGAGAATCATAATTTTTTTTGTCAGTCTGCGATCAAAACTGTCGGAAAGGCAGAATGACTGTGCAGACAGCACTGTGCAGTGTGTGAGACAAGCCTTACAAAACATACAGTCATGGAACCAGATGACTCATGCAAATCCTCCCAGCAGCTCAGCCTCATCCATGCAGGTGTGTTTGTGTCTTCATTTGCATGCAGTGTGTGAGTACAAAACACTGCACCTGCAGTATACTTGTCCATTTGAACAAGTAAGGTTGCTGTTTCTAGCCTGGTAATACCAAACTCTGCTACTTCGCTTTAGTTCGTAGACTGAGTCTGGAATGGCATAATTGAAAAGTGTTTTCTTTCTCGCGGGGGCGGGCGCTTGTCTGAAGTATAAAATCATTGGTTACCCGTAAGCCAATCACATAACGCAATCACCTCTCTCTCCAACTTAAACATCACCTCCATTCAAAATGTTTAACAAACACTCTTCTTGTTCGGGCTTCAGTTTGGAAATGGCGGGAATATTCTCCACAACAGAGCGAATTGCATCCCGTATCTCCATATTTCTCCTCATTTTCGATTTCCCTAACCTAAAATTATACCTTTATTTAACCAGGAGGTCCCATTGAGATTCAGAATCTCTTTTACAAGAGAGACCTGGCCAAGGTAGCAGCCAAATCACAACAAATGCATACATAACAAACACCAAATTACATTTTCATGATAAAAGAAGTACAAAAAGAACACCATGAGACTCTTAAGAAAAACAAGAACAGGTCTCCATCACAACACTCTTTACAGTAGTTTTAAATTCATTAATGGACATAAGGGTTTCTAACCTTAGCTTTTTTTGTAGATTATTCCACCATCAAAGTGCTAAATAAGAGAAAGCAGTTATCTTAAACTCGGCACTTAGCGTCTACGTCACGGCTCTCAGCCCGCCCTCTGTTCGTTGATTGGCCGCTGTTTTCAGGCCGGAGGAAAACTGAGAGATAGGTCGCTATCTCAGACTGAGTACAGAAGCGAACTGAAATTGAGCCGAAGTACGAAGTCTGACGTAGTCAGGCTATGCTGTTTTAGCGTAAACATAAAACATTTTTACTCTTTAGGCTGCAATTGAGGAAGGTGTGAAACTATGTAAAAGCCTGCAAGTGGCGCTATCCCATAAAGAACTCCTGAGGGACTGTCTAGGCCCTGACTTGGCAGGCAAACTTGAAAGAGATGGACTGAAAACACTAAACGAGGCAGAAACTAACACGAATGACCTTAAACAGGATCTTAAGGTGAGTGTGACTCAATTATGTGGGATGGTGTTTTAAAGGGGAAATGAAGCAGTCAATCAAGTTTACATGATTTACAAGATGGATTTCCACTATAATCAACAACTATATAAGAAACATGACAAATGTAAACATATAAAAGAAAAAACTTTATATCTTTCGCTGCCAGGGCGCCACCATTGTGCAGTATTCTAACATGTGACGTCACGGGGTTGGGCACCCCTGGTTTAAAGGCTCTGGGCAGTGAATATCCGACATCAAACTGTTTACACCACGGTGTTTTGACCGCGAACAACTAACGTTAGGTACAGTCATTATTAGCTAACAGCTGTAGGCATGAACTAGCTAACGCTAACTTAGTGTTTAGCTAACTTAGTGAAGTTTGTTAGTACCAGACAAAAAGACGACGTCTAACGTTATATGGTATCAAACTGCACATGGAAACATTGTTCGCGATGTCTGCCATCATATTCATGTCTCTTGTCAACACCATGTAAGTTATGTCACTATGTCGAACAGCCGGTAGTGGTTTGGGGCGAAGAGCGGGTTGGCAACGCTACCTGGTGTCAGTGTGGCTGTTGTACTGCGATGCCCACCGTGTCAGAGTCCATCTGCTGTCAAGAGGCTGATCTTGACCATGTATTGTGTGGTCAATCCTGCATCACCATAGTGCGCACATTTACCATGCTGTGCCGGGAGGTAGACATGTTGGAAGTGGCAATGCTTTCCCTGAAGGATGTCAGAGCGGAGACACTTTTTTTAATATATGTAGCTACTACCAGTGCGAAAACATGGACGTTTCATTTCCCCTTTTACAAATACATGCTAACTTACATGGTGTTGACAAGAGACAGGAATATGATGGCAGACATCGCGAACAATGTTTCCATGTGCAGTTTGTTAACATATAACGTTAGACGTCGTCTTTTTGTCTGGTACTAATAAACTTCACTAAGTTAGCTAAACACTAAGTTAGCGTTAGCTAGCTCATGCTTACAGCTGTTAGCTAATAATGACTGTACCTAACGTTAGTTGTTCGCGGTCAAAACACCGCGGTGTAAACAGTTTGATGTCGGATATTCACTGCCCAGAGCCTTTAAACTAAAGCCAACCAACCCTGTGACGTCACATGTTAGAATACTGCACAATGGTGGCGCCCTGGCGGCGAAAGATATAACGGTTTTTCTTTTTTCTTTTATATGTTTACATTTGTCATGTTTCTTGTATAATTGTTGATTATAGTGGAAATCCATCTTGTAAATCATGTAAACTTGATTGACTGCTTCATTTCCCCTTTAAATGAAATATCTAGTGGTTTAAACAGATGAGTTTCTGTTTCAGAATTTAGAGGAGAAGGTGAAGCAGGAAGCTCAGAGGTTGTCACTAGAGGCTCAAAGCATTCAGTTAGAATCACGGGTACAATTTTCACATTCGAAAACATATTTCTAGACTTTTGTTGTATCAAGCCACACTAACAGACAATGTGCAGCAATAATGTATGATAAATACCATTTGTAGGTTTCTGCTGTGACACCATCAACCAAGGAGTCTGAAGAGTTGGAATTTCTTTGTACCTCATACTTTATCACTGAGAGCTGCGAAATGGATAACCGTGAGGTACAGCCATCTGAAAACCCTGAAAGCAAGATTCCTCTATGTGTAATCTCAGAAACTGCAACAGAAACAGTAGTTCATGCTGCAAGAAAATCACCACCAATATTAGAAACTGACACTGAACAGGCTGATGTCAAAACAACTGTACTGTTAACCATGGAGATTCTACCTGAACCAGACATAAGAGTATATGATTCTCCTATTCCTACAAGCAGCCATGGAGCAAATGAAGTTGAAAATGAGAATTTAATTTCTGTTGCTTTGGAAACAAAAGCTGATAATGATGAGGTTGCAGATAAAAAGAAGTCCACTTCCTCGTCTGCAGCTCTCCACAACTTGGAAACCACTGTGCAAGACACAGACTCTCAGTGCTGTGGAATTCCAAGTCTGAGCTCAAAAGGACAAGAAAGCCAGTTGTCTGTTGAGGTTGTGAGCTTAGCTTCTTTTGCTGAAAGAGTGAAGAGTGTGAACATTGAAGCAGTGACTGTAGAATCAGATAAAGAGGAAGAGGGCTCATATAGTCTAAATTTTCAAGACGAACCTGGTGAAAAAGGTGAAGCACAAATAAAAATAGTTGCTGAGCTCATTTTAGATGTGGATACTGTACACATACAGAGTGTAGACACACCCACAGACAGTTTAGTGAGTACAGCCTCTCCTAGTGCTGTTGTAAACGAGAAGACATTGTGTCCAACAATGGGAAAACAAGATGATAGAACTTTAGCTACTCCAGAAGCTGAAATGTCTGACATAGCAAAAGAAGCAATCAGCATTCAGTCTTTTCTTAATGAGGCAGGTATGGTGAGTGTATCACATATTAGTTCAGCAATTGAACCAGAACAGTCACAGCTCACTGAAATAGACACCAACAGACAAGTGCAAACAACCACAACCCCACTTGCTGAAACACAAGGTAGTGGAGATGCTGCTTCAAGAAGTATTGGAACATTTTCTTGGAACAATGGACCAAATGCTACAATTGCTGACAGAGAGGACGACTGGACTACAAACAATGGCCCGCGTGAAATCCAACAGCGGTATATTATTCTAGACTTTCCTGAGGGGGCAGAGATGCAGAGGCATCATGCTCATGAAGCTACTCCATTAAGGGAACCTACTGAGACTCAGAATCAGGGATCAGAATGTTCAGCATCAGAAATAATGGAGACAGAAGGTGAGGCAAAATCTGCTGAAACCGAAACAGGGGTTCTAGCCAACACAAACAGACCATTAGAAGCATCAGAACAATCTGAACCGGTTGAAGCAAACCAAAACCTACCAACAAGGCTGGTTGGAGAAGTCATGCATGTCATTGTAGAAGAAGAGACAAAAAAGACCCTGTCAGGTGGTGATCCTAAACCTCCAATCAAGCAACAAAATGAGGGAGAAACTGAGATCCAAACAAACCAGATGAATGTCTCAACACTAGAGGAGAAACCTGAGGGGGAAGAGGCCATGGGTGTCATTTTGAGAGAAGAGACAAAGACTCCATCAGGTGATGAAGTACAATCCACAGAAATTGAACCTAATCTGACACCTCCAATCAAGCAACGGAATGACTGGGGCACTGAGATACAATCCAAAAGAATGAATGTCTCACTGACATCAGAGGAGAAACCTGAAGTTGGAGAGGCCGCAGATGCCATTGTAGAAGAAGAGACAAACAAGACCCTATCAGGTGATAAAACGCAATCCATAGGAGCTGAACCTAAACTGACACCCTCAATTAAGCAGCAGAATGACCGGGAAACTGAGGTCCAGTCAAAAAAGGTGGATTTTTCACCAGAGGAGAAAACTGAAGGTGGAGATGTCATGCATATCATTAAAAAAGAAGAGACAATTGAGACAAGTGAAAAAGCACATTCCATAGAAGCCGAACCTAAACCAACGCCTCCAGTCAGGCGAAGAAACGATAAAAAGATTGATATCCAATCAAACAAGGTGAATACCTTAACACCATCAGAGGAGAAACCTGAAGGTTTAGAGGCCATTGATATCATTCTGGAAGAAGAGGTAAAGATGGCTCCATCAGATGATAAAGTACAATCCCTAGAAGCTGAACCTAAATCTACGCCACCAGTCAGGCGACTAAATGAGGGTGAAACTGATATCCAATCGAACAAGGGAAAAGTCTCAACAACACCAGAGAAGAAACCTGGCAGTGGGGACACCATGCATATCACTGAGGAGGAAGTGACAAAAAAGGTCACATCTGTTGATGAAGCACAATCCATAGAAGTTGAGCCTAAACCAACGCCACCAGTCAGAAGACGGAATGAGAGTGAAACTGAGGTCCAATTTGACAAGGTGGATGTCACACCAACACCTCCCACCAGACGACAAAAAAGTGATAGGTTATCTTTAAACTTTGAATCACAGATAGAGGGAGAAATATTTCCCACCCCACCAAGCAGAAGACGTAAAGAGAAAACGGGAAGTGAGAGGTTTTCTCTTGATTTAGAGTCCCAACCCACACCACCAGCAAGACGACGTAAAGAGAAAGAAGATAGAAGATTATCGCTCGGTCTGGAGGCGCAACCCACACCACCAGCAAGACGACGCAAAGAGAAAGAAGATCAAAGACCTTCCCTTCGTTTGGAGACTCAACCAACACCACCAGCAAGACGAGGTAAAGAGAAAGGAGAAGATCAAAGATTATCAATGGATCTGGACACTCAACCCACTCCACCATCAAGAAGACATAAGGATAAGCCAGAGAGTGACACATTATTTTACAGTTTTGAATTAGGAAAAGGTGATGATGGACAAACTAGTGAACATAAAGACAGCGAAGAGCCCACTGTTAAACCAACTCCACCTGTCAGACGCAAAATTAGTAAAATAGAAAGTGATGCGACATTAGCAATTTGCAAAAACCAAGAAGAGAAAAAGACCTTTGTGAAACCTACACCACCAATAAGAAGGAAAGATAGCAAAGTTGAAAAAGAGATAGTCGCAGGTGCTTTTGTATTGAAAGAAGAGATAAGCATAATTAAACCAACTCCACCTCTGAGACGAAAAGACAGCCAAGCAGAGACTGAGATAGTCTCCACCACTTCTGAAAGTCAACTTGAAGTCCTACCAACTCTTCCAACCAACCAAAAAAAAGATCAAATAGAAGCTGACAGTGTTCAATTAATGCCAGAAGAGCCACAGGTGATACCAACTCCAACAACCAGCCAAAACAAAAGTTCAGGGAATGAAATGGTTTGTGCAAAACTGGAAGTGGAAACCAATGTTGAACCAATAACTAAACAGGAAGATAAAGAGGAGTGTGACACTAAGCCGTTGATTGGTCGTGAGCATCAAGAGGAGGGGCAGGACTCTGATACCTTGGTCCCGGAAACTATAAGTGTAGTCAGCCAAACAAAGAGCATCAGTGAGATGCAGGTAACTTTAAAATGCATGATTTTACCAAAGGAACAAACCTGCATGATAGTGTGGTATCTGCATGTTGGACTCTGGTGGAGATCTTCAACTGAGGACGTGTGCTTTTAGGGCCAAAATGAAGTGTCCATGTTTGCAGTAATCCAATTGTCTCCATTACCAAGCACAGCTAACACATTTGGTTTTAACTGATGGAAAAAAACCAATCTTCTAACAAAGTTTCCATTAACACCTGTGGCTCCTGAATTGGATCCTTTTTGTGTCTTTATATGTTGGTCTGGCTTTGGCTGCCTTACCACAGAGACAATCCCATCACATTTTGCACCATGCACTGCCTTTTATCAGTGAATAAAGATTTCATTCTTTTAATATTGTCATACTCTGTTCTGTTCCCTCTTCTGTTTCTCATGGTACTGTGTATGTTTGGAATGGCTTTTTGAGTTTGATTTTGTGTGTGTATTTTTAACCATAGTTGATTGCTTGAATTTACTTCATTTACTGCTCTAATTTCTCAGTTGTCTACAATATTTTATCCTGTGCAAGTAATATTGTAGTTGCTAGTCTTCAGCTCAACAATTAGTTTACTCTGTTATATTATTTTATGTGTTGCAGCCACAGGATCAAGATGTGGATTTTTCTCTGCAAGTTGGTCTTACCACTGAAATCTTGCAGAGTCCAGCAGAGGAAGAGCCAAAGGGACCCACAATGAAGGATATCTTTGTGGAGATCAAAAACATGACTGAAAAAGGACTAAAAAGTGTACTCATGGAGGTAATATTTAAAATTAACCACTATAACATCAAATTCAAAATACTTTGAATCAATTTAAACCATGTCAATGCGTTGTACGGTACATTTAGAATAAACATAAACAGGAAAAAATGTGCATTGTGTCAGCTGTCCTTTCAGAAAGCTTTTATTTTTTAGGGTATACCACATGAAAGTACAGAGAAACTTCTTGACACGTCCAGCACTGATCTTGAAGCTCAGTTAAAAAGACTAGTGTTCCAGTTACTGGACCTTCGAACTTGCCCAGCTGCTCTGAACTCCGCAGACATGGCTAAACAACTAGAGGAGGCTGAGGTGGGTCTAAGATTTTTCCTTAGCCTATTTCCTATTTAATATGTAAATGCAGTGTTACTGTTTCTTTTTTTAAGCAATCATTTTTATAAAATAATTCTAAGTTATTGCTGAAGGTGAGCTCATTCAATATTTTCTACTGTTTTGTTATACTATTTTAGGAATGTAGAAGGTGTGCCCAGAGACAGGTATCTATGCTGTCTAGGCAAGACCAGGCTAATGGAGACATTGGCACTGGCACTAATGGCACAGTTCATGACCCCGAGGGCATGCAACAGCTAAGCGCCCAATGGAGTGCAGTTTTGTGGGATGCAGCAAGCTCTGTTCATTCCAAGGAAGTACAATTGCAGATGGTTACAGATTTTGACAGACAAACCAAGAAAGTCAAAACAACTCTGGAGAGACTCAAAACTGAGCGTGAGGCACTAAGAACGTGAGTATTTACTATTAAGCAAGTAGATTTTTGTACTTATCACTCTGAAAACGGAGCAAGTTTATTGCTGAATTAAACCTCTGGTTATTAGAATGGAAAACAAAAATGTCTTATATATCTCTAGATCTCCAGCCATAAGCAGTTTTGCTGAGGAGGAGAGGCTGCGCTCTTTCTTGAGAAACATGGAACAGGAAAGGACAGCTCTCGGTGAGCTAATTCAAACTCGTGCAAAACTCTCCCCTCACCTCAGTCTGCCTGAGAGACAAGCAGTGGAAATACAGCAAAACAACTTGCAACACCAGTGGAGGGCCCTGGAGAAGGATGCAGAGATTGCTCTTTACATGGTTAATGCTTATGCTAAAGAAAGTGGCAGCCTTCTTCAAAATGTCGGTGCCTTAAAACACCATCTCAAGAACATTCAGAAAACCTTGGATACATTGAAATCCTCGCCAGTTTTATGGGATGGCAAGAGAGCTCAAGAAATTATGAATATAAATGCTGATCTCACTTCCACCCATCAGCAGTACCTCTACCTTCAGCAGACCTCTGAGGCACTTGCCCAGGAATTCCAATTCAAGGCAGAGACATCCAGCGTAGAGCAGGACCTTCAGCATATCAAAGATCAGCTGGATCAAATAGGCGAACAGTTAGCAGCTGCAACCCCTAGCAGCAGCAACCCAACGTTAAGTAAAATTGTAAAAGTAATTACAGATGCTCTAGCTTGGGCCAAGCAGACAGAATTTGACATCAAAGGACGCCAGAAAAAGGTGTCTCTGCTTCCAGAAGAGGTACATCGACAGATTAAAGATTTAAAGAAATTGCAGTCAGAGATGAGCTCCAAGCAAGCTCAGTTAAAGGCTTTGGTTGAGGAAGTCAATGAGCTTATTCATGACCTAGATGAGGATGATGTTTCAATGGTGACTTCATCCTTGAAAACCCTAGAAGATTTGTCCAAATCAACAGCAGGAAAACTGGCCAAGGCAGTTCACGAGATGGAGTCAGGGCTTCAAACCCGGGAGAAGATGTCAGAGCAGATAGCAGATGTTGATTCCTGGGTGGTTGGACATCTCTGGAGGGAAGCTTTGAGGAGAGAGGATTATCAAAGTTTGAGTCCGGCAGACCTGGATCGCAGGTTGAGGCAGATCCAGGACACTCTTGGAGAGGCAGAAAAGCAGTCCGCTGTCACTGAAGCTCTTCTGATGAAAAGCAATGACATTGCATCAGAGCTACATGTCTCAGAGAGTACTCAGCTCCATGGGAAACTCACCAACCTTCAAGAAGACATCAAGGGTATTGTTATCTATGAGAAAGCATGTTGCCAGAAAGTTATGGATGTCATACAAAGCCAAGAATCCTCTCAAAGGAAGGTATCATCTCTTGAGAACAGCCTGAGACAAATGTTAGTTGATTTAAAAAGACACAGGTTTCCTGTTACCAAGGATACCCTCTCTGTTATCGAACCCTTTAAACAGATGATTGTGGAGCGCAAATCTCAGGTTGAACAAGTCAGTCCCTGTGCAGAGGACAAGAGAAGAGAGCTATTATGTGTTATCACTGAACTGCACCACAAAATGATAGATTTGGATCTCAAAGCACAAGCTCATGAAAGGTACTTGAGTCTCAGTCAGTGTATTGAAGATCTAAAGGATGAAATGGAGGCTCAGATTCCAAGGACCAAAGATGAGAGCATCAACAAAGAGGAACGCTACAGTGCCTGTCAGAACCTACTGATCCAAATCCCTTTAATAAAACTCTTGTGTGAGGAAACAAGAGTTGAACTCCAGGAAATCATAGCAGATCTTTATCCATCTCAGATCTCTGCTGAACAAATAAGACTCAAGCAAATCTTGGAAAGTCTCAAAACCTCAGAATTGACAGTGAACAATAATCTTCAGATACTGGAATGGGATCTGCTGAAACATATTCACTACCCATCAGAAAAGAGAGTACTTCAGCAGTTCCTCAAAGACACCAATGAGGAGCTAGAAAAGCCTTGTTGTATTGAACCAAAAGGAGGAGTAATTGAAAAACAATTAAGAAAGTGCCTTGTGCTCAGAAAGACTGTAGAATCTAGAATGCATGTGCTTGAGTTTCTTGAAAAAAAGATTGGAACTCAACCTCCACAGGACTCCAAACAGCTTACTTGCTTGAAAGATATGGTTTTGGAAAGGTGTGATCAACGAATGGTGAGTTTATGATGTGTTTCATCTTCGACTCACAATTTCATGGACCTATTTCTTTGCAATATAATTAATTAATTAATTGGTATAAATATAAATGTTTAGAAATATACATAGAAACTTTATTGAAAATATACATTTAAGCATATAGACTTTTTTTTGCTCCCTTTTCAGGTAAGTTTAACTAAAGCCAAAGAACTGTTAAGGAACTACACCAAGGCAGTGATTGATACCATTCGGTTCCTCCAAAGAGCTGCATTGGTCCTTCTTCCCTCAATCTGCTCTGCTAGAAGCTGCTCAGAAAGACTTAAAGACACTCAGCAGGCTTTATTGACCCTAGACACAGAGTTCCAGTCACATATTTCACAGCTCCAAACTCAAAACCCACAGCATCCCTGCTTCAATCCACAGCAAACTGAATTTCTACACATAGAGCTTCTAGGCGAGCTCTTGGTCAGGCTATCGACCCTCAAGGCCCAGGCCCAAATACAACTAGAATCTCTAAAGAGGTACATAGTAGGAAACCTTATTGTATATACTTTAGTGTATAAGAACACAGAGATTAGAGTTTTTCCTCACAGTAAATTATTCATAATCACTAATGAATTTGTGAGATACTTAAGCATTTATTTTATATACAATATGCTCACTTTGCTTATCAAATCTTATCATCACCATATATCCTGTCATCAATTTCTAAATGCCCCATGTGTAAAGTAACACATTTCTTGTCCATAACAAGGTGTGTTGAGTGCCAGAAACATTCTCGTAAATGCTATGAGGAGCTTTGCCAGCAAGTGAGAGACTCAGAAACATTGCTATCACAATGTGCTTCCAAAAAAAATACTTCACACAAAGACTGCAAAGACCAGCAACTGAAACTCAAGGTAAAGGCAAATAAGACCCTTTTCTGTAGAACGGCTAGCATTTGTTAGCATTAGCTCCCCATATAACCGAAAGATCTGTATCATTTATCTGTTTTGCCAACTAATGCAATGAGATACATATGGTTTGGCTGTTAGGCTAGTTTATTCAAACATATTCCTTATCTTTTTAGGCTGTAGGGGAAGAGGTTGTCATGCTTCTTGGAAAACTGGAGAATCTGAGAGAATGGTGTTCATTATATGGATGTAGAGCCAACAGGGAGGATGCAGTGAGTGCTGTCTGGGGGCAAGTGGCAAGATTGCAGCGCTGTGCCAATGATCTGCAGACACGCTCAGGACAAATGGAAGCAGAGTGGAGCTGTGTCACAAGGAGTGTAAGTGCCATGACCACAACTGATGGCGAGTATTTGACCCTCTGTACATCAACATTCATGTGAAATAACAAAGAAACTTGAAAAAAGCTTGTTTTCTTTTGCTGTCATTCTACAGGTGGAGCAGGCAGCCGGTGTGTTGGAGCAGGTGGATGCAGAACTTCCAGACAGCAGCAGAAAGAATCTGACTGGTGACGAGCTGCAGGAACTGCTGCTATTCTGTTCCCAGTACCAAGACAGACTGGACTGTGAACACAGAGCTCTCTCTGCATTGGAATTAAGAGCTGCGAGGTTGCTTGGTGTTCCCCCCCACCTGGAACAGGCCCCACCCATTGAGCTGTGCCAGAAACTTCACGCCCTGCAGGAGCGTTACCATAGGTCAGAAATCTACTTGGTTTTCAGTTTTCTTTTCTTTCATAATATTCTGAGATATTTTAATTATTGTTTTCTCAAAACATTAATGACTTTTGCCTAATATTTCCAATTGTGGACTCCATGTCCCAGTGATTCATGCATTAATTCCAAATCAGTGGGCTTACAAAATAAAGTGGGTCAATGTTGGATTCCAACGTCCCGTCACAGAGAGGGCCAGCAAGCACATGCCTTCTTCAGAACATTAAACCACACAGTCTCAGCTAAATATTTATATTTAAGTTTACTTATACCGTAAAACTTCAAATAATAGCCGAGTCCCAAATAGACTCCTGTCTCTTTTACACGCCTGGTGTGGCTACAGGTTTGGATAAATAAAGGCCGGTCTCAAATAGAGGCCTGGTTTGTTTTTTAGTTTCGGGTTGTATTTAATCTTCTAAAACCTGTCAGATCGTCTGTTTAAGCCAGTTCTATGGTGCAGATTGTGCACGCAAGAGAGCCCTGTGCATCTGGGCGGGAGCTGTTAGCTCAAGAAAAGCAGGCAGAGTTAGCGGAGGCCGGAGAGGGAGAAGTGGAGGAGAGCGACGAGGAGGAGGAATTCGCCAATGAACTTGTAGTTGACGATCGCAGTGATGATGATAGTGATGAATAGGGTCATTTTGTATCACATGATTGCAGTTGTTTTACAGGGTAGCCTTCATTCTTTCTTTTTGATGTGTTTCGGGCAACAAGTTCATAGGCTCGATGGATATTACCGGTAACTTGTATTGTTCAGCCCATGTCACATCGTTTTCGGTTTTTTTATGCTGCCAATAATCTAAAGGGGGTCGCACCGCAGTGCCGCGCCGCATCTATGACAACTCGAGGTATCGCACACCGGACGCGCTCTTTGTCAGTTTATGGCCAGCAATATTGTTATGTTTAAGGACATTATGGAATTAAGATCATGTCTGTACTATGTTATGATTGTACTGTACAATTAATTACAATCGTTGCTTAGTCTGCAGTCTGAATTCACTTTATCTCAGAGTGTCCGTTAGCTGAATGAATTGAGAATATCACCTGAAAATCCAATAACATCAGCAATTTTCATTCAACCAGCTGATTTCTGTAAATGAATGTAAAACTAAATGTATATTGCAGCACAGGGTGAAGTCAGTATATACATAACGACGATTTGAGACAAATAAATGTAAATTTAATATAAAACGATGTAAATGGCGCTCTGTGGCGCGGCAGGATTTTGAACAAGGTCCTGAGCCGCTGCACTTCTCGTTCGGTGTGCGACGCCCCTTTAGACAAACGGTAATATAGTAGGCTAATTCTTACATTAACTGATTTGTTAAACACATTCGAATTATAAATAAAGCTTAATATAATGTGGTAACCTCCGACTGTCATGCTTTCCGTCTGTCAGCCTATGCTATTTGGATCGTTATCATAGGCCTACACTCAATGAACAACATCTCAACACTAAATTAAAGGCCTGTCTCATATAGACGCCTGTCTCAAAAACAAGCCGGTGCAGTTCGGCGATTTGGGATAATAAAAGCCCGGGCTATTATTTGAAGTTTTACGGTATGCATTTTTATATTATGCTGAACAAGAACATACCAATGTATAGATTGTGGGACATGTATCAGCATTTATAGCATCCATTTTGCAGTATGGACTTGGACTGAGAGTTTAACGTATTTTGACTTGTATGCTCTGCAGTCTGAAGGAGCGGAGCACTCAGGGTCAGAGGGCAGTAAGAACAGAGGTGGAGGAAAGGGGACGAGTGCAGGAGCAGCTGGAGGGAGTCAGAGAATGGCTGGAATCTGCCACCTCTCTCCTCTCTGTACTAGAGCACGAACCCAGCAAGAAACAGCTACAGGTTAGTCACCTGACTTTTGACTTGTGCTTTGATTAACTTTATCCAGTTTAAATGTTTTTTTTGTTTTTTTTACATTGCAAAGTTATAATCCAATTCTTTAACTCGTGTCCAGGATAGGTTAGTACAGTAAGAAAATCTATCGCTCAAGCCTGAGAATTACTAATGCTTATGAGATTTGCCATTGACACAATGTTCCGTTTGTCCCTGACTGCAACCAGCAATCTTCATTATCTCTGCTCTGAATAATACCTCTCACATGTGAAGTCTCTTTTGTGTTGGGAAGTAACTAGCATCAATTAACGACACTACTAGCTTGACTACATTTTTTCAGTAGCATGACAGCTGATCTGCTTATTCAAAACAGTGTTGTTTTTTTAATTGCAGTGAGTGTAGCAGCAGCAAAATGCCTCATTGGTCCCCAATGATTCCTGTTTAAAAAAATTTTTTATTGTTGTGTACATTCAGTGTTACCCCAGACTAAACAGATTTAATGACATACTGGAAAAGCAAAACAAATGCACATACAAAAGTGCAGACGCACATTTTACACATGAATAAACCTGAATGGACACTGACAGTGATGAAAGCTGTAATGTGGTTTGTGTCTGGGCAGCAGAGATACTGTACTACTGGCATACAGTGTTGTTTAGTCATAGCAGGTTTTTATTGCCAAGTATTGGTTGTTCCAACCAGGCTGTTTCGAGTGACAAGCAATTTGTAGAAATGGAAACCAAGAAATCGTTAAAATATCCTGTTGTTTGCAGCTCCATCGCTTCATGTCTAGCTAGAAATCTGTGTGAAAGAGACTTTTCTTTTTTGCTGAATAGGCTGTTCCGTCCAATCAGTTCAAACACACACACTCTAAAAGATTCAAAGACTTTTAAACAGTTATTCTCTTTCACTGCTGTAGACACTGTTGTTTTTCTCTCTCATTACCACACACAGATGAGAGGGCTAGTGTGTTAGTGTTCTGGTTAAATACCTGAGTCATGTCCAACATTCCCACACAATCTTTCTTTTCACTGTTTCAGATACACACACTCTCCTTCTCTCTTTTTCCCAAGCACACACTTTTGATTCAGATTTTCCCACACTCACACACACCTGTAAGTGGATCCTCCAGGTTTCATCCCAAAGCCAATAATGCACTCTCGCTCTTACTCGCACAATCCATCTTTCAGTTCAGTTTGCTCAAATGTGTCCCATATGATGTTGAAAAAATGCTAAAACAATAAAGGAACAGAATCTGTAGGAATGACCATAAAACCATGAAGAAATTAAGTCCTAATAAAACACAAACAGCCGCCAAATAGAATGATCTGAATGGATAAATCTCTCTCTCTCTCTCTCTCTCTCTCTCTCTCTCTCTCTCTCTCTCTCTCTCTCTCTCTCTCTCTCTCTCTCTCTCTCTCTCTCTCTCTCTCTCTCTCTCTCTCTCTCTCTCTCTCTCTCTCTCTCTCTCTCTCTTTCTCTAAAGCATGGTCCTTTCTGTCTCTAAATCCCTCTGGGTTTTTGGTAATTTTGAGATCTTGTTTATGCAGCTTTTCTTCCCATCTTAAATGACTCATTATAATATAAATAGGGGTTAGAAGCTTTATCTCACTAACGGGAGCCGGAGAGGTGAATAGGGTTGAGAGAGCGAGAGAGGTTTTTGAGTGAATTGTCCTGGTTCTGTTATCTTAAAGCTTGAGGGGCTAAGAGCATCATCAGTGACTGGGTCAACCAGCGAGACTAGTGCTAAAGAGTGGTACTGGTACTGATATGCATAAACCGAATATCGCATTGTGCATCGTTTCCATGTGCTTTATGTGGTTCCTATAAATTTACAGTAAGTGTTTTCTTCGTTATACTAGTTTGGGGTGGGGGGGGGGGGGGGGGGGGGGGTTGCTATTTAGTATTCAGAAGTAGAAATTTTGGGCACCTTCCCACTATTAAATGTATAACCTATTTTTATTATATATTGTTTATTTATTTTAGTCTGCTAAATGTTTGCTAATATTTGTTACTGTGTACAAAGAAAAATGAAAGAGCCTGAAGGGAAACTATAAATATATTAATAGTTTCTATTATGTTTTCAATTTCCTAATTAATAATTAGTTTGATATTTTTGTTTGACAAAGTAAAATAAGGAGTACAGTAACTGTCCTGATAACATGACATTCTCTTTTAAAAAACTCTAAGAAGTTAAGCAATTTTGAATTAAAATATATCTTTTTTTAAATGTAGTCTGGTGTAAAAGCATGATGCCATTTTGTTGTCACAAGGACAAGTAAATTAATTTTATGATATGACAAGGTTAGTTCAGCTAGTCTAAAATAACATTTCTAAGAACTTGGCAGTGACCTATAAAACATCACCCAATATCTTTTTCTTTTTATATCATAATGAATATAATTATATTTTCACCAAAGGAACAACCTTAAGTTTCGGATGTTTTTTAGTCACTTTGCCGAGTCAGTTCTGCCCTCAGTGAATGCTTGTGTTACGTGGGGAACCAGTCGCTTTTTTCCATTCTTGTTTACGCTGAGCTCTGGTTTGGAAAAAAAACTCTTTTACCGAGAAGTATTTTTTAAACGAAATGGATAAAATGGAAAAATGGTTATTTGTGCAGTACATAGATGTGCTCATTACTAATGTAACCTAATTGATGAGTAATGTCCCTTTTCGCTCAACAGGAGGTTCACTCACAGCTGTGTACCCAAAAGGCCATTCTGCAGCGTATTTCAGAAAGCTTGAAAATGATGTACTCTGACAAAAATACATCGATTCCTGAAGAGATAGAGGGACTGTTACAGGAAGTCTCACAGTCATTACAGGAAGTGGAGGAGCAGGTTTGATGCATTCTTTAGAGTGGTTCCTAACTTGAGAGTGGTTCTCCACCTGCCCAGATAAAAAATAGATCAAAATAGACCTGCTATTTTTTGGTTGAGAACTCTTCCTTTATATATGAGAAACATTTTTTTTCTTTTCTTAATTTAATATAAAATATTCTTGTTCGAAAAGTACTGAACTCATACAACTAAATGTGCTTCACACACACCATGTAAACATCACACTTGCTGCAGTTTCATCTCATCTTTAATGAATTAAGCGAGGAGAACATCTCACTAGATCCCTGCATCAGAGACAAATAATCTGCACACATTCACAGGTGTAAGAGGTGTTGCATCATCCATATACACATTCAAACACACACACACACATACTTCATTGACTAGAGTTTTGTGTCATAGACACTTATTGTGTCCATGTGTTCAATGATTTTTAAAAGTGAATATAGTAAATTTGTTTGTTTCAAATGACATTTGTTTTGTTTTTTTCTCCATTTCAATGTCCATTCCATCTATCTCGGTCACAGGTGAAGACAGCCGTGGAGAAAAGTGGCCCACTTCACAGGCTGGGTGCTAAAATCTCAGAGATTAAAGCAGGTCTGGGATCAGTTCAGAGCTGGTTAGAGCAGAAGAGCCAGAACTTCAATGAAGCTGAGAGCACACAAAAGGTCAGAAATGAGTTTAGTCGTCTTAGTCTAAAACCTCTTTCACAAATTTTGCATTGTAAGCGTATATTCATATTAGAGCCCATATGACAGGTTAAAGTGTAGCAGATGTACGCTTCATGTACGGTTCCGGTGCTGGGCCTGTCCCAGACAGTAACAGTGTCGGCCCACATCTGGTACACGTGGATTCCACAAGACCCAGATCTGGGCCGACACTATGTTGCTTTCTGGGGGTTTTGTATTGGTGCATGCTGAGGTCATTAGCATTTATAAAGATGCACTATGAACCAATTTATGAACAAGCTTTTTGCAATTTTGAAGAAATACACAGTAATGAGGTGAAGTACTTTACACATAGTTTGGAAAAGTATCTTTTTCAAAAGCAGTTGATGCACGCTCCCAATAACAAATTTTCAAATTTATTAAAGATTTATTAAATTGATTTAAGTTATTAAATGAAATACACAATATAATAGCCCATAAATCACTTTATTTTTCCATACTGTACTATATAATATGTTATAGAAACATTGTCAGTCTGAAAGCTCAAAACGCACCTGCATTTGCTTATGGCCTATAGGTGCAAGTTCTGTGAAACAGTGTTTAAAATGTTTTCAATTATTTCTTTACCGTGAAGTCTAGAAACAGATTAAATGACCTATGGAAGATTTAATATGTGTTTTTTTCTATGTTGTTCCCTCGCAGCGAGTCTGGGACGAGCTGGATAATTTACACACTCGTCTGACGGCAGTTGAGGTGGAGCTTCAGGACGTGAGTGAAATGCATCCGGACGAGACCCGTCTGATTCTGGACAACCTGGCCAACACTCAGCAGACCCACACACGCCTCACCAAACAGGCTGAACAGAGAACCACCTTTCTCAGCAAGGTCACCTGAATAGACTCTCATGATGCTTTGCTGCACACAGATACAAATTAAAGGAGTATTTAACCTAAAAAATTAGCAAAGAAGTTGAACATGATAGATTGAGATGGAAGGAAAACAAGAGTTTCAGTTGCATCATGTTACCTAAAGTGTGTTATCTACACGGTCTCTGTGTAGGTCCGTGACTGGCTGCAGGAGCATGAGGAGATGGTGAAGGGGTCACAGAGCTGGATCTCTGAGGCTCAGTCATGGCTTACGACACCCTGCACATACACCACTGCCAGATGCCTCGACAGTCATGTGAACGCACTGCAGGTATTATTCTCAGAAACATCATTATCATTTAGCTGACAGTTACTTATCACAGGAAAAGTCCTCCTCGAAGAAATCTGCATAATCCCATTGTGGGATTTAAACCTACACGTATTTGGTTACCAGCCTAGTGTATTAGGATTTTATTGTCATTCCAAAAACATGGTACATGATCTGGAACGAAATTAGTACTGAGGTCTGGTTGAAACCATCTCAAAAATAAAAGATCATCAAAACGCTTAAACTTGAAAAACTGGCAGCATAGCAATAAAAGTGCAACATAACTCAAGACAAAAAGTTCAGTTTATCAGTTCTGGTGTTTGGCAGAGCTTCTGGAAAGTTCCCATACCACACATGTAACACATGAGGTGAGGATGCTCTCCACCACACCCTTATAAAAAGATGTCAGGACTGTAGTTCCCAGGCCAGCCTGTTTAAGCCTCCTCAGAAAGTACAGCCATTGGTGAGCCTTTTTTACCAGGCTGCTGCAGTTGGTTTTCCAGGTGAGGTTGTCGTTTATATGTACCCCCAGATATTTAAAGCTGAAGACGACTTCCACCTCCGCTCCCCCAATGCAGAGGGGAGGGAGGTGGTTCTTGGTAGCCTTTCTGAAGTCCAGAATCATTTCCTTAGTTTTTTTCATATTGATGCAGAGGTTGTTGTCTCTGCACCTTTAGGCTAAAGGCCCTATTGTACCATTTTCATGTCTAATAATAATGTGTGTGTGTGTGTTTCAGATGGTTCTGGATGATTCCGCTCAGATGAGACGGGCTCTACAGGGTTTCAGCAGTGTGCTGACAGAGATGGGAAGTGTGTTTGATGTCAGTCCATTAGAGGAGCAGCTCTCAAATGCTGATCGACGTGTGGCAGACATGCAGCACAACCTTCTGGGACCCCTCTCTCAGCTGGAGCATGCAGCAGCAGTGAGCACACAGATTTTTATATATAGTTTTTACATTTTAAATTTAAAGGTCGCCTGACATGGGGTTATTTTATTATTTTATAATGTTTCCTGGGTTGCCCTTATAATGTTAGTATGTTTTTTAGATCAAAAATAGTCATAATTTAGAAATAAAAGGCAATTTTCCTAGCCTGATTTTAGCCTCTGATTTGAATGCTCTGTTTGAAGGGGCGTGTCTGCTGTGAGATTCAGTGTAGCCAGCCACTGCTGTGATTGGCTGACATGCTTGCATATGAAATAGCTATGTATTACATGCGAAACTTTCTCGAATACTTTTACTACAGCTATTATACGTTTTTACTATTACAGCTATCGAGATTAACGAATCGTGAAAAGTTTTTAAAGTATTTAGATCTATTCCCATCACATAAAATGTTGCCGTGATGAGCATTGAGCAAGCAGATGACAGTCTGTTGATCGCGAGTATGAAGATCTTATCTCTGCAACGCAGTTTCTGCACTCTCTCTAATGCTTTCACCAATGCAAACACGATGATGTACATACAGTAAGAGCTTCGTTGTGCAGTGTAACGTGCGTCATTGATTTCATAACGAGTTGTCCAGATAAACTCGCGCTGTGTGGAAAGATTGTTCTTTCATCGCTTTCTGTATAATTTGTTCAGAATTTAAAAAAGATTATTTTCATCCTACTAAAAGAAACGATGTGAAGTTGATATTTTAGTCACTGGCTAGACTTACTGATGCATAAACAGTATTGAACGATTTTGAGAGAAAGATTAACTTACCTGTCTGAACTTGAACAATTAGGCTAACGTTACACATCAGAAATTGTTGCTTGGTAGCTCGATGGATTTATTTTCAGACGTTCATCGAGTTGAGGAGACAGTCGTCGGTGAAATGTTTGGACCATACAAAACTTTGGGAAGTTGTGTCGGCGCATTTCCAGAGAAAATAAAATTAACCCATTGTTTCTTCAGAGGCTCGGATGAAGGAACTAAAAAATACTTTTGTGTTCATTTGTACATCCGAACACTGATCAACTGCCATGCTTCGCTCGTTTGCAAGCCATGATATCTCTCGAGGAAAAACTCGAATCTCAAAGCTATTTCTCTAGGAAAAACTAAAATCGCGCCGGCGCGTTCGTACTTCCTGTTCCTAGCTCGTTTTCTCATGGGCGAGCCAAATTCTCCGGGCGGGCAAAGCAGAGGAAGGGGAGGTAACCTTTCCTTGTTATGACGTCATAACAAGGAGATTCAAGATCAGCGCGTCTGAGCTGCAGAGAAGAGAAAAATAGCCAAAGCTCGGTTTACACCGATTGAAAATTCTAGACACGAGGGGACCAAATACAGGCTAGGGGAACTAATATTAATGTTAAAAAACCTCAGAAAGTGAAAATTTCATGTCAGGGGACCTTTAATTACTTAAAGGTGCTCTAAGCGATGTCACGCGTTTTTTAGGCCAAAACATTTTTTGTCACATACAGCAAACATCTCCTCACTAACCGCTGGCTGCCTGTCCCCTGAACACACTGTAAAGAAACGCGATCTCTGTAGACAGCCCAGGCTCCACAAACAGCAACAAAAACAAACTGGGCTAACCCGCTCCACGAAACATGACAAACAGTTCCAGCCAATCACCGACAAGAAGGACTTGGGGGCGGGGTTTGGGGGGTTAGTGCGCGGATGAGGAGGAGGGAGGGTCTAGCTAGCCTCCGTTTTGTTTGACAATACTTTAAACGTCAACAAGAAGTGACGTCACCCGACATCGCTTAGAGAACCTTTAATGTATTAATAATTTTCCAAATGAGGATGTCAATTTATGTTTCCAGAGAGAGATTTTAACTCACTTTTGATGATAATTTTGTCCCCAAACTATAGCTTATTGTGTAAAAAATGCACAGCTGTTAGAAGGTGATTCTCATGAAACATCTGTTTTTGTGTGTGGTGTGTTTTTAAGGAAGTGGATGCCATTGAGACAGAGGTGAAGGTCATGGACAAAGATGTAGCCAAACTTAAATCTACTCTGACTACCAAAGAAGACATCAGCCAAGACAATCTTAAGGTAAAATAATTGTGTACTTAAACATTTGACCAGTTGTAACCTATAGTGCGTTGTAAAAGACACGGGTTAATGTAAACGATTGTATTTTGTTTAAAGAAAAGCACAAAGCAGAACAAAATTGTGCAGCATATATTTGCCTCTGTCATTCTTACCACGTATGCAAGACTCTGAAAAACCCCAAACATGGGCCTTACAGTAACATACACCCAGACCATTACACACGGTCAGTGGGGTGATGTTATTATGTAGTTTCTTTCAAACACCTGATTCCTGTGGGTGTTTTGCGTGTATTTGCAGGCAACAGAAGACAGGATTGACCTGATGAAAAGGACAGTAGCTGAGATCCAGAACTGTAAGGATGGTCTGTGTCTTCCTGACAAAGCTGAAAACACACTCCTAGTGTTCAAAAGAGCAGAACTACTACAGAGACAGCTGCTGGAACTAGAGCAGGTAGAGCACATATACACAAACACATACACACAGGCAAACACACAGTTCACACAGTGCTCAGTGTTGTGTTCATCTCCTCTCAGCTGGCCCTAGAATACTCAGTTGAGGTGCAGGATATTCCTGCCCCGCCCCTAAGTGTTCCGCCCACTATCACTGAGGAAGAGACACAGGTTAGACAAAATATTATGTTCAAATCTAATGCTCCAAATGCAAAGATTATATATTATAATATATATGTTATGTGTGTGGGTGTGCAGGAGAGTGGTCAGATTCAGATTGCGCATGTTGAGGAGGATGTGTTGAGAAAATCAGGAGCAGCGCTGATGACGGTGGAGCAATCCACACCGGAGCAGAGACTCACCTGGATCTCTGAGAAGAGCAGCCATACCACCACAGAAACACAGGTATGAGGGAACACATTGAATGAACACACCTTTTTGAAATCGCCCTGGAAGTTGTAGGTCATCCGGGTACTTTTCGCCTACTGTTTTATGAATAAACTGAATTCGGACATGCTACTCATTTCTCGTACTGTTTTTACTGTTATATAGTAGGAAAGTGTGCAATTTCAAATGCAGCTATAATCAGAAAGATATGCAGGTGTCATAATTAATCAATAAAGTATTATTACTAAATACAGTCATGGATAAAAGGCTTTGTTCACCAGAACATGCAGAGATTATTATTGCTTTTATAAAACAGTTTACTAAACAAAAATATAAAGGACACAAAATCATCATCCAGAAATGGGCATATCCATTTTGTATTGCTTATATTAAAGTCCCCCTGTAGTCAATAATTGTATCCCTTAAAACTCATCTTTGATCACCAAATGAGAATTTTTCCTAGCTTGAAAATTTTTTATTCATGTCTTAAAGGGGTCATCGGATGCAAAATTCACTTTTATATGGTGTTTGCATATAAATGTGTCTTTGCAGTGTGTGGACACAACCACCATACAATAAAGAAAAATACATTCACTATAATTGTATAATTTCATTTGATAATTGTACGAGTGATAGAGTGAGAGAATTAGTGACTAGGACATTTATTTATTTAGTTAGTTATTTAAGTTAGGTAGTTAGTTAGGTATACGCAGGCGTATTTTCACTATGGTGAATTACTGCGTTTGTGCTGGGTGCAAAAACACCATTAAAACCGGTCACAGAGTCCACTTTTTCTTCCAGTTTCTTTCTTCATTTCTTCCAGTTTTTATGTTTTCACTGTTCGATCGCGCCCACGCCTCTCTCTCACTCACACTCACACACACACACCAACATATTCCAGCATTGCAATCTTGACATCGCAGCCTGTTCATTATAGCCACGGAGCTTCAGAGCTAAGGCGGAGATACAGATTAGGTGTCCCTAAATAACCCACGTATCTAACAGTAGTTCCGCATTAGTTAATTTGCACGCGAGTTTTATTTAATTTTATTCCATGTATTCTCTGTGTATATTCATGCACCAAACCGTTACGCCCGAACCGTTTCGGTTCAATACGAATACATGTACCGTTCCACCTCTAAGTTATGCCTATAGCCTACTTACCAAGACACCTGACCAACTCTCCACTGGTTCTCTTCACACCAGATATTTATGTTTCTTCGATAGGAATTATTTAAATTTCTGTTTGGCTCCTCATCTGTCTCACGCCTGGGAGGCTCAAATTTGTATGGCTGTGGGCCATCGTAGGTTTGAGGGGGATTTTGGATCTCCTTAGACTCAAAACTCTCCATACTTGAAAAGAACTTTTTTGGAACGTCTCCCTCTTCTGACGTCACAGCTCAGCTGTGTTTTAAAAATATGATCTTGACAGAAATGGCTATAAAGCTCACTGTAGGGCAATTACAGTAATAATTTTAATGATAATTACATTTTCACTCAGACATCTAAACCTTATTTAAAGCTGCAGTCCGTAGCTTTTTTTTGGGTTAAAAATTATCCAAAATACATACCGGTATTTGAGAAAATACATAACCAGCCAGTGTTCAAAACTCTCTTCTTGCCTTAGCTCGATTCAAAGCGGTAAGCTTGTAATAATGTTTTTAATTCCAGTGGTACTGGTGGATTTCCGCAGGAGATTTGAGCATGTCTTTGCGTCATTACGTCACATCTGTACACATAAAGAAGAGTCTCGGCTAGTAGGCTATATAGCGTGTGAGGATGTTGGAGGTGGAGATTTATAGCCTTTTCTCACAGCACTTGATATAATTAAACTAATTAATTTCATGGCAGATCCAGAAAGGTTCAAATGACAATCACCAGTGACAACAGATTCACCCGCTGTAAAATGCAAAAGACTTCGTTCGGACTTCGGAGTGACTACAGAAAAAAAAAACACTGACACCAGACCCATGCGAAAACAAGGATACATATCGGAAGGACATTACATGTAGTCACACAATGCTGACGTTGTTAACATTAACAATTTGAGAACAAAGTATAATTTGCACGGTTTTGCGTGATGTGATAACTTATAAGCGATTTTTAGATTTAATCAGCGCGATTTACTGCAATGTCAGAACCAGAACAAAAGTGGATGTTTCTTACTAGTTCAGATGACATTTTTTGGTGAAAATGATTATGTTGGTCATACTTCCAAAAAGAATAATCTGTGATTCTGAATGCCAGTATCGACACCGGCGCGGTGACTGACAGCTGCACACTCTCCTCAAACACTGTGTTCATCCGCGCTGTGCCGTGTCGAGGGTGTTGAAGTACAACTCATGTAAAGTTGATAATTCCGCGAATGACTGCAATTGCAGATTTCGAACAGAGATGTCGACAAAGAGGAAAAACGCCGGACTGCAGCTTTAATATTTCCAAAAAATATATAATAACCTGACATACACACTTTAAAGGAGAACTCCGGCGCAAAATGAACCTTTGGTCTAATAAAACATTGGTACCTAGTCAACCGTTCTCTGAGATTTGTTTTCATGATAATCGAATGTAAAGAGTTTTATCTCTAAAAACTGTTTAGCGTATAACGCTAGTAATGGGGGCATTTAATAAGTAAAAAGAAATCGCTAGTTAATACCACTAACAAGGCTCAAAATAGCCCCACACGAACACAGTAACATAATGAGGGTCCCTACATGCAAAACGAAGCATTGAGAACTTTGTAAGTGTACAGACCGTTTAATAAGAAGATATTTTATAAAGACAGTCCACTTCGTGTATACAGACAGGAGCCATCTTTGGAAAACAGTCTCGACTAATCAAACCACGAACGACGTGCTAAGTGAGCTGAACTGTATGACGTTCAGTGAACTTCTGAACTGTATGAATGGCGTTCGTGGTTTGATAAGTCGAGACTGTTTTCCAAAGATGGCTCCTGTCTGTATACACGAAGTGGACTGTCTTTATCTTTATCTTCTTATTAAACGGTCTGTACACTTACAAAGTTCTCAATGCTTCGTTTTGCATGTAGGGACCCTCATTATGTTACTGTGTTCGTGTGGGGCTATTTTGAGCCTTGTTAGAGGTATAAACTAGCGATTTCTTTAAATGCCCCCATTTCTAGCGTTATACGCTAAACAGTTCTCTTTCATCATCTCGTTTCGAGATCCACCTATGGGAAGGGCATCCGTACCTGACCTCTGCAGAAGCATCCAATTGCACCAAGTCTGGCTAACAGACAGAAGCGCGCAGCCAATGCCAGGTGAGGCCACACCCCCTTACCTACAGCTGGGCGCGCTGCTATTCCTCAGTTGACATTCGCTTCTCGCGATCTCTGCATTGACACAGTTCGGTTGGATTAACGTTACGCTGCTCACTTTCAAGTCTTCAGGAGGACATATCGCCAGATCAGCCTCTGCCAGACGTGAGTGACAGTCGTTTCTTCAGCCTATCCGCTGTGTTTTTTGCATCCGGAGCCGCCCGAGCTCTCGCTGTCCTTCACCTGCTCCTCCTTTACATGGCTGCCCGCCACGGATTTTTCCGAGTTCTTCACCGCTGGCCCACCCATGGCTATGTGACCGTCTAAACAGCCGCTTCCCCCGGGGAACAGCCTATCACGACGAGCCTGCCCGGCCGCGTGTGGTGCTCTCATCGCCGCTATAAGGACCCTCTCGTTCTGCGCGGTCTGCTTGGGCTTAACACGCTCAAGCTTTGGAGAACCCGGGGAATTGCGGTCATTGTAATTGCTGCCCATGTAGCTTTTACTAAGCCGGCTTTTAGTTGCACGACACAGCGCGCCGTGCTCGGCCTTTCTGACTCGGAGGAGAGACACGGTGATGATGACGCGCTACCGGGGGACTCCCGGAGCGCCACCTCTCTAAAATATTTGAGCTGACATCAGCCCAATCCGCATTCCCTGAAGAGGACATCTTCGCGGGAAAACCTCACTCTCGTTGACGAACCGGTCGGTTCCGGCGACGGGGATGACGCGGTCCTTTTAGCGTTCCCTAGGCTAGCGTTCACGCGGCTTTGCCTCCGTCCATCCTCCTGGAAGTTTGTGAGCGAGCGGCCGTTCGTCTCAACATTGTGTGGCCAGCTCCACCGACCAGGATAGGAATATGTACGACGGGTAAACGCTGGGACCACCGCCCAGTCTGAACGGCTGGAGCGTCCCGCTAGACTGTTAACACGGTCTCACGGGCCTTGATTTGTTACGATTACGTGTTGAGGTTTTCAATTTATGCCTTCCTAGGAAGGCGGTCCCGAACGCAAGCGGCCTGCCTGTTGTTCGACCATTGGGAGTAACGTTAACTAACAGGGTCTCCCACCTACGGTCGGTTAATCCCCTCTCGTGGCTGCCCAGCCCGTATGTTAGTGGACGTTGTGTGTGTGTGTGTCCCCTTCCCCCCCACAACAACAAGTTACGGGGGAGGGGGCTGTCGTGAGGGAAAGTACATAGCAGTGTTACCACACCGCACGCACTTAGTTCCCCTCACCCAGTTATTAAAGGCTTCGGCCCCAGTGTTTCCCAACACAAAACACACACATTACTAAACAACACATTTAATAAACGAATCAAATGAATTCGTGCAGATTTATATATCTGCCAGCGGCAACATAGAGAGCAAATCTCTCTGATCCCATGCATGTCGCCCTGAGTCCGTCCACAAGAGGTCGCCATTGCCTCATAAATCAACCAACTGGGCTCACACAGCTCAGTTGCGGCTGTCCAGCCGACGTGTTTTTAGTGGACGTTGTGTGTGTAAGGCCCCTGTGTTCCCCAACACAAAACACACGCATAACTAAATAACACTTAAAAAAAAAAAAAAAAAAAAAACGCATTAAATAAATCCGTTACAGAGAGAGTATCTCTCTCCGCGGATATTATTTTTCTGCCTGCACTTGAGACTGCCCAGTTCATGTGTTCAGGAGATATGTGTTTTTCCCACTTTTGGGGGCACCTTGTGAGGGAAAGTTCAGCACAGTGGACACCACACTAT